GAAGGACGGTCTGTTCAATGCCGCAGATAACAACGGCTCTGTCCTTATAGTGCGTTCCAAAGAACGGGACAGAGGCCGCGGAACAGGAAAATAGATGAGGAACGCGAGAAAAAAGAGTCGTTTTCCTTTTCCTACTTCGAGCTATAAGCTTATAGTCGCCTTCGAGCTCGCCTTCGAGAATGGGTCCTTCGTGCAAGCGCCATAACCTCTGCCAAAACAACGCGGTTCACCTTTACAGTAACCTTATAACAAGATGTAGGTTGCATGGTGAATCTGCGTAACAACAACATGATGAAGGCCGGCCAAACGTTGTGCGCATGCGCAAAAACGTACACGCCCCTAAGATTTCGAGATTTCAACGGGATTCCAGCAAAGATTTAAGGATTTTAACAAAGATTTCGGGATGCAACAAAGATTTCGGGATCTCAGGAAGATTTCGTAGTTCAAGGAAAGAATTCCAGATTTCACCAGAGATTTCTGGATGGCGTTTGCTGTCTCCTCCCCTGAAGATCTACCGTAGAGACACAGGGGAGGAGAAAAACGATCGCTTGATGTTCCTGCACATGCTCTTGCGAATCTAGAGACGTTTAGTGAAAATAATCAGCGCTTCAACTATTTCGGTAAGGAGATAGCGGGTTTAGAAACCGGTAGGTAAAGAAATCTAGCTATAAGCGCTTGGAGATTAGAGGCAAGTACGGTACTTTTGAGAATATGAGATGTGTATGATACTTGCGTGGGTGGATCAAAGCTGGAATGCGAGGTCTATCACGCCTTTCTTATCAGATTGTGTGTAAACCACAGTTATGACAGTGTACAATATTCTATAGAAGATAGAACATACAGGATGAAGTAGTCTCATAAGGGTGAAGCGTTCACTATAGTCTATGGCAGATAGAACATTCCCAGCAAACTACGGGTCTAGTCACGCTACTCAGCAACACTGGGTCAACAACTGGAGACGACTGATCCATCCAGAACGAAGAGCCAGAAGATGTCGCGCGACCGCTAGCGCTTTTGGGGTGGTGACGTGGTTGCATGCAGAGAGCTAGAGAGGGCGGCGGCGGGCCGGGGCATTCTTGCGCGCTTTCTCGCTTGGGTGCCCGCGGACTAGGTAAAGCCGGTCGGGTTGCCCGCCACATACAGAAGCATCATACAAGCCATTTGTACGATGTCGTAATGCTTGTGGTTTACGTGACGCACTCGTGGCTCCGTTCAATAGAACACTCGGGCTGCGCCCTCGTGTTCTAGTTAACGGAGCCACTCGTGCGTCACGTAAACCACGCGCCGACATCGTACAACTATAACATAAATATGGACGACCTGTCAGTAATTTTGGCTTGGTTTGGCTTAGCTAGCCGTTCTCGCCGAGTTTGGAGCCGTTTTGTAGCGTGAGATTTCACTCGTGCCATCCCTACATAGAGCGTACACCGACGCTCTGATACACCATAAAGCTACATACGTTTATTTGAAGCAACGGGTAGTGTAAAGGAGAAGACAAAATTGTTAGTTGGTTTTCTTGAAATTTAACACTTCATACATTGCTACAGTACAAAACAGCAAGCATGCACAACTATGATCAACTAGCTTGTTTCAAATTTCTAACATGCTATTCACATCGAATTGTTCTGCTCCTCGGCATGGTGGTAGTAGTAGTAATAGCCAGGAGGACGAGTATCTGCTGCACCTTAGCCTGGTCACCAGTGTTCTGCTCCTCGGCATGGTGGTAGTAGTAGTAATAGCCAGGAGGACCGAGTATCTGCTGCACCTTAGCCTGGTCACCAGTGTCCTGCTCCTCGGCATGGTGGTAGTAGTAGTAATAGCCAGGAGGACCGAGTATCTGCTGAACCTTAGCCTGGTCACCAGTGTCCTGCTCCTCGGCATGGTGGTAGTAGTAGTAATAGCCAGGAGGACCGAGTATCTGCTGCACCTTGGCCTGGTCACCAGTGTCCTGCTCCTCGGCATGGTGGTAGTAGTAGTAATAGCCAGAAGGACGGAATATCTGCTGCTCCTGAGCCTGGTCACCAGTGTCCTGCTCCTCGGCATGGTGGTAGTAGTAGTAGCCAGAAGGACCGAGTACTAACTGCTGCTGCTGCACCTTAGCCTGGTCACCAGTGTCCTGCTCCTCGGCATGGTGGTAGTAGTAGTAGCCAGAAGGACCGAGTACTAACTGCTGCTGCCCTTAGCCTGGTCACCAGTGTCCTGCTCTCGCTGGTGGTAGTAGTAGTAATAGCCAGAAGGACCGAGTACTAACTGCTGCTGCTCCTTAGCCATGGTCATCCAGTGTCCTGCTCCGTCGGCATGGTGGGTAGTAGGTAGTACGGCCAGAAGGACGAGTTACTACTGCGCTGCTGCACCTTAGCCTGGTCACCAGTGTCCTGCTCCTCGGCATGGTGGTAGTAGTAGTAGCCAGAAGGACCGAGTACTAACTGCTGCTGCTCCTTAGCCTGTCACCAGTGTCCGACTCTCGGCATGGTGATAGTAGTATAGCATGAAGGACCGAGTACTAACTGCTGCTGCTGCACCTTAGCCTCGTCACAGTGTCCTGCTCCTCGCCATGTGGCTTAGTAGTAGTGATAGCCAGAAGGACGAATATCTGCTGCTCCTTAGCCTGCGTCACAGTGTCCTGCTCCTCGCATGGTGGTAGTAGTCAGTAATAGCAGGAGGACGGAGTATCTGCTGCTCTAGCTGGTCACCAGTGTCCTGCTCCTCGGCATGGTGGTAGTAGGAGTAGAGCAGGAGGACGGATGTATCTGCTGCTCCTTAGCCCTGGTCACCAGATGTCCTGCTCCTCGGCATATGGTGTAGTAGTAGTAATAGCCAGGAGGAGCCGAGCATCTGCTGCACCTTGGCCTGGTCACCAGTGTCCTGCTCCTCGGCATGGTGGTAGTAGCCAGGAGCGACTACTCGTTGCTGAGCATTGGCTACTGGTTTCACTGCAGCAGGTGCAGCTGTAGCCAGGTATACTCCGAGAAGCAAGCAAAGCAGAGTTTCATGTGACCATGATTGTCAGTTGTTGGTGATTGTCCCAAGGATGATGTGATCCTGAATTGGATCCTCTTTTATATCACCAGGCAGACATCTTCTTCCTCTCGGTGGGGTTACCACAGTGCTGAGTCTTCACTGAGATTCAATTTCCTTGTTATTGATGAGTGGGATGAATTCAATTGCTCTTCAATGAGTAGTGCATTTACCACTATGGAAACGAGTCATACTACTCAAACAATTATGCACAATTTTAAAAAAGGATGTGCCAGTCATTTGACGCTACACTTCAGATGCACTCTTTTCATACAACCTTCAGTCCTGGTCACTGCTTCCATGGAGATAGCTCTTCGACCTTAATTTGAGGTGGACTAGTACGCTCGACAAATCAGGCACATGTGCAATTTGATGAGAGTTCCTGAAAGTTTGCCAGACGCTGTACATACCGACTGAAGTTGGAGATGAATCCGATGGAAGTAGGTTTTCTCCTCAATGAGTAGTGTGTTTACCATTATGGAAACAAGTTTCATGTAAACATCAACAAGGCCCCAAGGCAAAGGACTACACCTAGGACTCAACTCAAAAAAAGAGCTTTTCTGTGCGCATACACGAGTTGTGGTGGTCTGCGCATGTGCATGGTGCTTCTAGGACACCCCAACATTAGCAACTGTGGCAGCACTCAGGCCAATCATGCACAGTCTCAGGCTCTGTGCTATTCTTTGTATGCCACACCTCTCTCCCCCTATATAGCTAGACTGTCTTCCTGTCCAGGTTGGCAAATACCATTGCCAAGATTACGTTCGTATAAGATATCCACACCCGTATTGGAGTTTTTATATATCACTAATTTCTTATGATCGCTGCTTTTGATTAGACTTTTGTCCTTTGTGGGGAAAATTGTCCACGTCAGACTACTCAAACACCAAGAGTATAATGATGCACAGAGTTTTAAAAGGATGTGCATGGTCATTGAAGCTCAACACTTCAGATGCACTCTATTCATACCCAGCTTCATCCTGGTCACTACTGCCACGGAGGTATAGCTATTCAGACCTTAGTTTGAGGTGGACTATTTAATCTCTTCTAAAACATAAAGACAGACTAAACAGGAACATGTGGGTTACGACTATGAATGAATGGTCGTTGAAGCTGAACACTTAAGGTGCACTCTATTCATACCAACTTCATCCTGGTCACTATATACTGCCACGGAGGTAGCTATTCAGACCTTAGTTTGAGGTGGACTATTAATCTCTTCTAAAACATAAATACTAGACTAAACAGGAATATGTGGATTACGACTATGAGTTCCCAAAAGTTGCCAGAAGCTGTACATACGGAGAGGAAGTTGTAGCCATGTCAATAAATTCTACAGGGGCGCAAACCCTCGGCGAACTGCGCATGCGCGATACTGCTAATTGATGGGCTGGGCTATTTAATTGTATGCGCGTATGGTCTCCCGCTAGTAACTCACGGAGAATCTGACACGGGCAAGTTACAGTGTAGATAGCATGCGGGAGTTGATACATGCCATTCTTCGTGACTTCCTGGGCCCCCAAGGTACACAGAGCGAGCGGATCAGGTTGCGTAAGCCCAGTTCGATTATGCATATCTCTCGAACGCAGTCGTTTCAGCAAAATTGCCCTTTTATTTTTCAAGCTCGCGTAGTTCTGAAGCCGCTGGTATCGCTAATGGGCCGCCTCGTAGCCTGTAGTGCCAGAATAAGCGTCGACGCACAGACAGACAGACAGAGACAGCAGACTAGACAGCTGACAGACAGCTAGAACCCTCGCTGCGCATGCGCGCCGAGGGTCGTGCCTATTCTTGTTTGGCTTGCAGTGCATTAAAACCTTTGAACCTTTGAACCTTAATGAAGCATTGTGACGCGCACGCGGTACCACTAATTGATGGAATGGGCTGGGTTTAGTTTTAGATGCGCGCGCACCGCATTGGAAACGCCCTCCTCGGCGCATGCCGCGGCTCACTGATGCTGAGTAAGCAAATGGCGTTGTTCAGTGACTACCGAGGAAGAGCTCAACGATCTACCGTAGTGACTTGCGGCAAGAAACAAACGATCGCTTGACATGCGTGCACACTTCGGGCAAATTCGAAGACGTTCTGTGAAAAAATCATGCTTCAAGTGCTTCCAGTAAGGAGCTAGCGGGTCTGAAGAAGAAGAAGAAGAAGAAGATGAAGAATAATTATAATGATGACGTCAAAATCGCGTATGAGCGAATTCTCGCGTGGACGACTGAAGGTGCGTATGAGGTCTTGGGGGACATGTATAGGTAGATATGGGCCCGTAGACTATTGCTAGTATGTTTTGAAGGCCTATAGGGAGTGATTCTCAGCGGGTTTTAGTCGTTTTGTACGGATCACGTGAGATTTCAACCGTGTCATCCCTATATAGAGAGTCTACCGACTCTCTGCTGTATAGTATGAACCTACTCACTATAGTAGTGTGATGAAGGAAAACCTATATATACAGGATGACCTGTGTCATCAATAAGTAGTACCGTACTTAGTGATATAGTAACTAACAACACTCTCACGTATGAGTGGCTACGTGTTTACCTCAGTGTGCACAAGTTGCTAGCTATGCAGTTCTTGGTGGTGTTCGACCTGCTTCTTTTAACTCCCTGTCTGACACTCTGGCTCCCTGCACAAGGTAAGGTCTTGTCACCTAGCTACACCTTGGAAAAAGTATACATAATCATAGCCAAAGCTCTCTGTATTGCTTTATGTGACTTGGGGTATATGTGTTCAAAGGTTGCAGCTCACAAACTAGTGGTTTCCCCAGTCTGGAAGAGCTGAGGAGAAATGGCTCTCTACTTGAGCGGTACTCAACCCACGATGGGGAACTGAGGTCTCTACCTGGTGTAAAGTCTACATGCTCTGGACCTGATGGTCGGATCACTGGCATTACTTTTCACATCACAACTTCACATTCAAATGAACTTCATTTCATCGTCAACTTCAAAATGGCGCGCCGTCTGCCTGGAGCTGGGGTGGGAAAAACTCTATTACTAGTCAATGGTGTAAATGGAGCCCGTAAAGCTGAGATTGTACTAACAAGTGCAAGTCAAACTATTGGTGAATTTGGATATGAACTGACCTTACCAACCAGTGTCAACGTCCACTTCAGTGAAAGAGGTACACATTGTGGATCACGACATTCTCCCCATGAGAGGTCTGCCTGAGATTCTCTATCAGGTGGTAGATGTGGCTAGGACTGTTGCTCTGGAATACTCGGATTCTCGTGTCGAGAATTGCAGGGGCGTATGAAACTTTTGGGCATATGTATAGGTAGATATGGCCCCGTGAGTGATTTGTGGTGTGTTTTGAAGGCATAGCTAGCCATTTTCGCCGAGTTTCGAGGCGTTTTGTATGCGGATCACGTGAGATTTCACTCGTGTCATCCCTACATAGAGCGTCTACCGACGCTCTGATGACTTCCCTTTACTGGCTATTGAAACAGGTAGCTATATCAACAGTCATATCTCGCATTGTAAGCTTGTAGTATAGGTGGTATAGCCGAGTTTTCATTGCTTATGTATGAAACCCGGTGACATACTGTAGAACAGTTTCCCTTTGCCTTGTATTGTGTTGTGCAAACTTTGAGCCCTGGTGAGCCACCTCTGGTAGCTCAGTGGTAGAGCACTGTGTCTAGAGAAAATAGTGTCGTGGGTTCAATTCCTACTTGACTCTAGTGCAACGTTAACTAATGCTGTAGTTGGTCAGATTATTAGGAAGAGAGGAGTTTGAAATCCAGGTTTCCATAGATAATAATTACCGACTTTCATGGCCTACATAGTAAGTTTCTCCTATGGATCAGTGGGTGTAAACACAAGACAGTGCATATAAACAGCGCCATAAAATCAGATTCTAATTTATGTGCCCGGCAAGTGTGTGCTAATGACGATGCTGCTTGCATCCACAACGCTTGCACATGCAAGGAGTAGCTACTACACTAGTGTGTTTTTGTTTTTAAAGGGGAGGTGATAGTGGTTCATTCTTTCTTACTCCTTGCTAGTATTGTATTGCTACACATAATATGCACGATTTTCATTGAATGGTGGCACAATCTCTTTTGTATCACGTGTAGCTAGCTTAGTTTACCCAACACTGCTGTAAGTGCACCATCACCTGTGATTATTCTAGGAGCTTGCTCCATGTAAAGGCTACATGTCATGATTTAAGGATTCACTTGTACAAAAAGAAACCATCCCACCCACATAGAAATTGAGAGTAAATACTTTTCTTTCCAGACACATAGCAATACCCAGGCAACCCACTCTTGCACTTTCCAAGGTTACTTTCTTTTACTAGGAAATGGAGTGAAGCATGCAGATAACTAAGTTTTTCAGAGAGTCTGGTCCCTTTTTAGCCACTGCACAATTACCAAAGGTTATGAACATCCTGCCTTGGTCAGTCCCTCCATTTCCCCTCATTTTTCATGTGATATCCTGAAATATCTTTTCCATTCTAGAGCCTACTAGTTGTATTACGGGACTGGTGACTACTTTAGAGCTAAAGAGAGTGTGGAAGAACAGAGCCCCACCCACCCTCTACACCAGTCCCGAGAGAGAGATCACACTGAACTGCACATCAGCCTCCATCTCAAGGATATTAGTAGGGGCTTACCCTACATTGACTGGAGACAGAGTGCCTCAAATTTTTATTGGGAGTGATCAAATTTGCAGTGTCTCTACGGAACCTGTCAGTGAAGGAGTCAATGTGTATGACTGTGTGTTGGACTCTCCAGTTGAATTAAATGAAGACACCATACTGATACTCAGGCAAAGAAATTCAACTAGTCAAATTGGCTTCCTTCATGATGGTCCGACGGACACACCACTCATATCTATGGCCTTTAGTAAGTAGTCTAGCTAGCTACTGCTGTCATGTGAGTGAGTGACCCATTGCTCCATAGGTGAGGACTGCAGCAGCAGTGGTCAATTACTGAGTGAGGTGCACCTCAGGGAAATGGCAGCTCTATTTGTCCCCAGTATCATTCAGAGAGAAGATGATGAGATAGACTTCGAACATCTCAAAATATCACAGGACTTTGTCCTCACTCACTGGACATTTGTTGCAAGGAGCGTAGGGAACGGAGAGGAATACCCTAAGCTGTCTATAATATATCCGATAGGAAGTGCATATACACAAAAGCACACTGAGAATACGAACTGTACAGACAGCATTTACCCAAATGTGTACCAATGCAGTGTAACTCCAGAAACAGTTAGGGCTGGAGACATTATTGCTATTGTCTTGCCGCCACTCAGTAGAGCTCGTGTGGCACTCATTTTCATCCTCAACGGAGCTCAACCTGGTGAGAGTATTGTTACTGCAACACAAGTGGAAGGCTTCCCCCTCTTCGCATTGGAAATGGGTTAGTTTCAATATAGCTACACTGTTGACAGTTTGTATTGAGTAAGTTCTCTACAGGTTTCAACGCATCGCAACCTTGTCTGGTACTTATTAAGTAAACCCTCTTACACTTTGCTCACGTCTCTTTCCCCCTCTCTTCCACAGCCAACTCTATCTTACACTGTTCAACTCACAATATCACCAATGTCCACTGATATCCCTGAGCATTTCGTACCACCCTCTATCCCAACAGCAGTTGGTAAGACCCTTACAAATGCAGGTGTCAAATCTGTTGCATTCTGTCTTTTCAGATAGCATAGTTGCTGGTGTGTCCTCCTCTCTATCTGTGCTGATAGTTCTGACAGCCGCGACTCTCACAATACTGCTAGTACTGTGGCTGAGGAGGAGGAAGAAAAGGAGAGAGAGTGCCGATGCAACAACGAATGACTTAGGTTCAGGAGAAGTAACCTCAGGCAGTGGAGTTGTAGTCATCCCCGTGTCTGATAATCCAGCCTATGTAGACAGTAGGACCAATACTCTAGTGTATGACTACCCCCGAGTGTGAAATGAGTCTATTGGTTTTATATAATGTTTGGTGATAAAAAGTTTTCACATAATAATTATATAGGTTCCACCAAAATGGTCTCAGAGCAGTGATATGAGAATACAGCTGATATGAGTTTACAGCAATTGCCTACGTATTTTGATGGATTTCAGCTAAACGAATTTTCTTATATAGACTATGCAGGTTATCCACGCTTATCATTCTCACCGAGGGATGTTGGGTGTGTAAAAGAGTAAAAACAGCTGAGGAATGGGGTTATTAATAGGCCTTGACAAAATTTGCTTTTTTCTCTGCCTATTTTGCTTTTCTTTTTTGCTCAATATTTTTACCTATTTTGCTTTTTATTGTACGCAATTTTCTTGTAGAAATTACCATTAAAAATGTCTGAGTACATACTAAAACACTAAACAACTGAGTCAATTTGAAAAATGGAACGACTGTTGTACTGTAACATGACTGACGGTTAATTCCTCCTCATAAAGCCAAAAAATGGACGTGCCCTGACCGTATATTTCTAATAAAACGTGTATTCTACCGTGCGAAACATTGAAACGCCTATCACTAAATGGCGCAGAGGCGCCAATGCGTGGGTGGTTGGCAGGAACAGAGCAAAGCTGCCTATTTTGCTTCATAGGTAAAATTGACAGCCCATTTTGCTAGCAGAATTGCTTATTTACTTTGCTACCTATTTTGCTCAAAATTATGCTAGCAAATTTCGTCAAGGCCTAGTTATTAATGCCCAGTGTAGGCATCTGTTTTGTACGTCCAATGTAGCTAAATGACATATGCATTCTAGCTAGAGATTGGGGTAACTTTCTATATAATTATCTCGGTTTATGTTCCTCTTCTCATGTCGTTGCATCTTACGCCCCCATTCATTGGATTGCACATGTAGCTCAATTTGTACAAAAATGGAGAAGATACATAGTGAAAAACACACTGAAATGTACGTGTATGACATGTGATGTCCTGTCCAATACAAACCCCTAAACAAGACAAACTACTACAAAAACATTGTTGTCTCATTGTAGCTCCTGGTAGCTGCTGTGCCGTTGGCAGAGACAGTTTCTCGCACCACTTGCCATATTCCTCAATGCCAACCTGCAACCAGGGCCATGTCCAAACCTTGTCCACATGTGTCTGGTCAAGGCATAGCCAGCCCACGCAGCCACCAGAATGTGTGGGGTAAATAGTGTTGCAATGAACGTTACCCCAAGTGTGTATGTTTCAATGGAGAGATCATTTTTCCACAGGTAAGCGGTGCACATGAGAACTCCAAACAGGGTTACATGAAAACTCAAAGATATGTTGGCAATCGCTGACTTGCAGGGCTTCACGTAGGAGACGACACATGCCAGCATCATCCACAATACTGTCCCTACAATACCCGAGGAATCGAAACTAATGATCCTTATGAGCATATTGAAAACTGTTGCATATAATAAGACAAGAAAAAGCAGTGCTCCAGCCAGTGCTCTGTAGTCACGAGTTCCATTCAGACCATCTGTGAAACAGCTGTGGAGTGCCTCGGCAAATGCAGTGATGGCCAGTCCGCTTTCTGGCACTCAGAGACCTCGATAGATAACTGTAGACCCCGTGGGTACATGCATAGGAGAATTGAAGGAATCACTGAGACAGTGACAACAACTGCTGTGGCACCAATAGATACAAAAAGGCTGTGGCTAGGCCACTCAATTGATGGATCGATGTAAAGCGACCCTTTTCTGAAACATCCATGGCTTTTGTACACTAGTGGCTGTCTGTAATAGGACTCATCACTAACAGACGGCAGGATTGGACGAGAAAAATGAGGGACGCAAAAGCCCGAATAACAGCATACTGGTATGTGGTGATGTTAGCCTTACTGAGAATGATCTTAATGGCTGAATCAAGTTCCAACAAATTTGTCGTTCCTTGCATGCAGCTCTATGAGACACACAGGAGATGATGACAAGAACAGTGAATAGATGGCTGGTATGAAATCCAATAGAGCAAACATGGAGCCAGATAGTTGTCGATGCGACAGAACATGGCGGATCATAACCTTGAAAAATTGCAAGCTCCAAAACGTGACAATGTTATTGACAAGTCAAGAATACCTAGAGGTTTTGATAGGCTTGACTGCAGGTAGTCATAAATGTATGTGTTCTATTCGTCACGCCAATTATGCTTATCTGACAGAAGATCACATATCCCAGCAGTGGTCCTGATGTGATGTCAAAGTTTTAAAACAAACCAAGAGTATAACAGCCAACCAACCAAATGGGGGGGGGGGTGTTAATAGGGTCCAAACAATGCGTTTCGTGTCAAAACAAAATACAAAGCAAAAAAATGGGAACAACACCCAATGGCGGGGGGATGGGGTCCAACAATGGGGTTCCGATTGGGGGGGGGGGGGGGGGGGGACCAACACAAACACCAAAAACCACCAAATGGTTTGGTACACAAAACCCAAAAGGTCATCGGAACGAAATGAAGAAAAGGAACAGAGAGAAATACAGTCCTGCGACCTCAGACTCGAACAATCCGTGCATTTCTTATCGATTGAATACACAGCAGGCCATCTAGCCTTCTTCACACTCACTGACACAGCAAACTCCTTTCTTTTGGAAGGACCAAACATCAATTCATCCAGTGGCTCGCATTGCTAGGCATCTCTGAATGCATTCTGTTGATGACATGGAACGTTGGACGACGAACGAAACGACAATGAGACACTGGCGACGACGGAGCTGTGTCTCCTCAGAAGACGTGTGCACAGACAGTGCTGTTCAATCTCCTACGTGGTCGCCGATTACAGATGAGGTCATCCACACAGCACTCTCCCGCAGCATGCATTTGGATAGCTAGTGCCCGCAAACTGCTGTGTTCCTCGCCAACACCAAAGCACAGCGACAAATTCAGCTGTCTAGAATGCAGAGGCACACCAGTACCAACGACCTCAGGAGACATCGCAGTTAGCTACTTAAACCAATGGTAGTATTGTTGTGATGAAAAACTCGGTGGAGAAATGCTGGCATCGCTGATTAAGGAATCTTAATAGGATAGTTTTCTGTTTCAATTTTGGCTACGATCACAAACACCTCTCACTTTTGAAAAAATGAAGGATTTGAAACCATATGGTTGCAAACCGCAAGGCTCCATTCAAACTCACCACAAACAAAAGCCCCCAGTGTGGTTGAAGAGCCTTGCAATTTCAAGTTATCTGGTGCGTTCCCTTTAAAGTTCTTACATGCGTACTTTTTTGTCACATTGGGTCATTGTGCATGTTGTGGAGCTTTGCCTTTAACATTGGTGGAGAGTAACAACTTTCAGCGTAGTTCACCACAATGCACACATGGAGTGTGGGATAAAGTATTAAGGTACAGACCATACTATAGGCCCTATGAGCAGATCATGAATGACCATGTACTGAAAGTTCTGCCTAACTTTAATTTTGCGATCCAGAACAGGCAGAGGCCACAGTATATTAGGTAGTTTATGGACTGAAGATAGAGGCACTACGAGCATGCGTTTGTCTTGCTACATCGTTGTTGTTACTCAGTTTGGAGTAGGGTGCCTTTGGTGGTATCAGTTTGTATAGTGCTCACCTAGACAGGAGAGTGTCAAGGGTTCACATCCCACCTATGGCAGCTCTTCTTTTTCCCTTGAAAAAAGAGATGTCCTGGGTGTAGTTGACTTGTTTGTGCCTTGTCATGCTGCAGTAACTAATTGAATTTTGTGTGGAGTGGAATTAACCCACCATTGCTCGTACTCTAAGCAATACCTATTGATACCAAAGACATACACCTTATTGCAATAGACGAAAACCTATTCTGAAAGCTCAAAAGCTCAGGAAATTGAAGCCATCAATGGGAGCTGCTACTGTATCCTGCCATGTTGCCTACCCGCTCCGGAATTACTCACACTCACTATTCATCACCATCCTTGTTTGTCTCGTCATATCAGTATGGGAAGGGAAGAGGTGGTCTACCACAAAACCTCCACTGTGCTGGCCTGAATAGAGCAATGGCGTCCCTGTTACTAGTGGTGGCACAGATTCACCTCCACAGTTGCCATTGAAAGGGGTAATGGTACATGGTCCTGCTATAAAAGAGGCTCCTTCAGCAAGTTCTGCAGCAACATTCTCATCTGCTCTAGCTTTAAGAGGATATATCATCACGCTCACAATGATGTCCCCTGCTGCTTCGCTCTGTCTCTTTCTGCTGGGAATGGCATGCCTGGCTAATGCTGCACCTGCTCCAGCTGAACCTGAGGGAGACAATGTCGACCGAGCTGCAAAGGTTGCCAAGTTCCTCTACGATGCACTGAATGCTGAGGTGATGGAGGAGGATGAAGCTAAGGAAAGTGAAAGCGATGACGGACAGGACCTGGCCAACAACGAGGCCTACGGATACTACAAGGCTCCACAGCAAGTACATGCCCAGGGATACGGCTACTACAAGGCCCCACAGCAAGCACATGCCCAGGGATACGGCTACTACAAGGCCCCAGAGCAAGTACTACATGCCCAGGGATATGGCTACTACAAGGCCCCAGAGCAAGTACTACATGCCCAGGGATACGGCTACTACAAGGCCCCAGAGCAAGTACTACATGCCCAGGGATACGGCTACTACAACGCCCCAGAGCAAGTACTACATGCCCAGGGATACGGCTACTACAAGGCCCCAGAGCAAGTACTACATGCCCAGGGATACGGATACTACAAGGCCCCACAGCAAGCACATGCCCAGGGATACGGATACTACAAGGCCCCACAGCAAGTACATGCCCAGGGATACGGATACTACAAGGCCCCACAGCAAGTACTACATGCCCAGGGATACGGATACTACAAGGCCCCACAGCAAGCACATGCTGAAGGCTACGGGTACTACAAGGCCCAGTTTGCTCCAGTCCAAGCTGAGGAACAGCAGTAGGTCATTAGGTCATCATTTCCGTTGAAAATATGCTTGTTCTTTAATTGCTACATGTCTATTGCATAATAATTTTACTGAAGGCAATATTGTGGCTGCATGCGAGAGCGATGAACAACCTATTGTTTGAAGCAATTGCGAGAGAATCTGCTCATCTGCACTATTATATTATCTTCTCCCACATTACTGCAAAAGGGGTATATAGACAAACTGATGAACTTTTTTCAACAGACTGACTCTTGTCGTTGAGGCTGGGGCTGTGTACTTGTGCATTGAAGTGATTGTCTGCATGCCACGTGTTTTATAAAATACATCAATACATTATGATGTGATGCACTTCAGTGAGGCAATACTGTGGCATATATACCACCACTCCTCACTAAACTGTTGACATGCTGAGCTATGCAACTTGGTCGATGCTCTCCCTCACGTTCTGCCAGCAAAAACCAGGCATGCAAAGTGAGAGTATACTGTGCCATAGCACAGTGGTTTGAGGTTTGCCTTTATCTCGTGCTGTGTTGTGTTGTAGATTCAAACCCCTACCAGCTGAGTTGCCCCGGTAGCTCAGTTGGTTGAGTGCTGTCTGGACTGCAGAGTGTCGTGGGTTCGAATCCCACCCAGAGCTCTTTTCCTGAGAAGAAATAGTTTCCCTGGGTGTACTTGATTTTGCTTTGCTTTTACCTTGTTGACAATGCAACTCCTAAATACCACAGGACATAATTGGTGCTGAAGTTGGTCTCTTATGCAGCATAACATAGGATTGCTGTTGCCACACAACCATGCTAGACTCTAATGACCAGCACATCACTGCAAACAGAAGAAAACCCTATTCCAATAGGGCTAATCCACGTTAACAAAGGCCCAGGAAATTGAAGCCATCGAATGAAGGTTGAATATGTATCCATGACGTCAGGCCTCTTCACCTGCCTCTTCTCACTTAAGGCACTCTTCACGAGAGACTTATAGGTCAGTGTAGGAAAGGAAGAGGTGGTCTACCACTAAACCTCCACCATGCTGGGCTGAAAAGAGCTTGTTGCTAATGTGTTGAATAGACTTGCCCCCACAGTTAGCTACCATTATGTATATATGCGGTCCTGCAGCTTCTTCATTGATACACATTCTCACCTGCTATCTCAAGTGGACATCTGAAAACTCAGTGCTCATAATGATGCCCACTGCTGCTTTGCTCTGTCTCTTTCTGCCATGCCTGGCTAATGCTGCACCTAGCTGCTCCAGCTGAACCTGAGGGAGACAACGTCGACTGAGCTGCAAAGGTTGCCAAGTTCCTCTACGATGCACTGAATGCTGAGATGGTGGAGCTAAGGAGAGTGAAAGTGGATGCACAAAATCTGGCCAAATACCAGGGTTATGGCTACTACAGCAAAAGGAAATGGCTATTACTATCTTGAAGACATCTTCCAGGACCAGATCCCTTGATCAAAATCTCCATGAAAACCAAGCTGATGAGCAGCAAGTCAACAATCTTGCACTAGATGGCTATTTATACTACTACCATCATATACAATATATACGAAATGAATTGGGAGGGATGTGAGATCATGAAGCTTACACCATGGCAGAAGAGTATCACCTTACATTGTTTTCTTTCAGTAAGTAAAACATTTAGCAACAAAAAAAGATGTAGGGATGGTGACTTTCTCTCTCGGTGTATTAGCGAGTGCGCATGCGCTTCGTGCAGCTTGTATGACCTTTGAACTCCCGGAAGGTTGTGAGTGAAGGAAGCAACCGGGATGTCCAGGTTTTTCGCCACTGGAGACACTGATACCGAGAGCTCCTCGGAAAGCTCTGATGACGAACCGAAGTTGGTTGGAGGAGCGAGAGGAACAACTGGAGCCGCCATCGGATCCAAGTGAGGAATGATTTCAGGACGCACGTGGCACTTTAGGGGCGTTACTTAGAAGAGAAACATAAGTTATAGTGTGCTCCGCAGTATATACAGCATGGAAGATTCATTGTGGTCATGTGTACTGAACTATGTGCTGTAGGGTTTTCACATTCAGTGATGATGAGGAGGAAGAGAAGAGAGTTGTCCGCTCTCAAAAAGATAAAAGGTGGACCATCTCGGATGCATCAATGTATGCGTTTGATGATGTAATAGGTATGATGAGTTGAGGAGTGTAGTCCATGCCATGAAGAACAGCCAGAAGATCAAGGACATTGCTAAAGTTCAATCAAGTATGTATAAATTGGTTTCTTTATAACTGGAACCTGTAAATTGTGGTGCCTGCAATTACACGTTGATTAAATTACATCAGTAATCATAGATGTAGTTGTGTTGTTTGCCTTTAGCTCTGCCGTGACGTTGTTGATGACACGTGTCCTATTATTGTGATTGTAGGTTTCGAGGCGCTGCAGAAGGCGTTCCAGAAGGCCAAGTCAGTGGTTGAGAAGGAAGGCTCAACTCCAGTCTTCTACACCAGGACGCTCACTCTGCTGGAAGATTTCGTCTTGGGGGTAGGGTAGCTGTATACTGTCGTGTTGAGATTTTCATCAAGTGCTGTGCTATTCTTGTAAAGACATGGACAATATCTAGTGCTCTCTCCCTGCAGTTATGGAACGACAAGGACGCAAAACAAAAACTTAGCAAACCCAATGCCAAGGTAAATGCACTGTTCTCGGCACTCATGCTTTGTAGGGAGGTACGGTATTCCTGACCACTTTAACAGTGGTACTATGCCACCACAGAACGTTAAAAATACTCTGTGTGTGTAGGTTATCAGGTACGTAGGTTGCCAAGTCTTGTGCGATATTGTACATGTATTTGTGTTTGAGAATGTTGTTGGGTGAAAAATAGTGTACTGCATAATACGCGCTTCCCAACAGAATCTTGTTCAGTGTTGTTAGTATCTGTTTACGTACATGCATGTAGGTGCCCTACCTTAACCTGTCCATGGACTAGATTGTTTTCACTGTTCATGTGCATGCTGCATGCAGGCACTGACGACTCTGAAGCAAAAGGTTCGCAAGTACAACAAGGAGTTTGAGGCCGAGATTGAGTCGTTCAGAGAGAACCCTATCAACTCTGAGGACGAGAGAGAAGGAGAAGCAGGTGAGACACTTTCTACACTATCGCACGGTGCATAAACACCTTTTCCATATTTCGAAGGCACTACACATAATGTATGAAGAAAGCTGTATATGTGCCACCACTCATGCACTCCTAAATGCTTGATGTCTTCATAGTGCCTTCAGAATATAAGGTGTTCCTGTAGTGTTCATGTGGCGTGTAGTGGTGTAGATTCTTCTTGGTTATGTGGTGCTCCTGGCTGATGTTGCTACACATGTGTGTGTCTACTGCAGGTGATGAGAAGGATGAAGAAGAGGAGGCAGAGGAAGAGGAAGAGGAAGTGGAAGTGAAGAAAAAGGTTCGAATTGCTGATGAGGTTGACGTCGCACCTGCTGGGGCAGCAGCTCCTGCAGCTGACTTGGAGGACGAAGAGGTAAGACTGTTTAGTATCAGAGTACGAAAGTTTGAAATACTCAAATCTGATTGGTCAACTAGCAGAAAACTAGTCTGCGTACGTAGAGCTGGTTTCCTCTGTAGGATGAGGAAAAGCACCAAGTACAAGGAGGAATACTATCGAGGAACGTGAAACATTTTTTAACGTGTTTTGCATGTGCTGCACTGTATATTAGTTGGACGACGAGTCGTTGATACCACACGATTTAAGAAGCCTCAGTTCCTGTAGTAGAGTCCTCGCTGCACTCGCAATGCCATGTCCTCGGCCTCCTACATCTGCATAGTTTTCTAGTCTTACAATTACGTTATGTAGAGTAACTGCTGTGTGTTTAGCTGCTTACTGTCTGTGATCGTTTTGTGCTTTGGAGTAAATTCACTCATTATTCTAGGAATCAGCATATCCTGTGTAAGTAGCTAGTGTGTGCGTGCAGGACGATGATGTGTGGGGGATGCTTGACGAGTCGGAGGAGAGCTCCAGCGAAGACGAGGCCATCCCTTCTGGGAAACTGACCCTCGAATACTTCCTCAAAAAGTTAGCTCCTTCTGATCACATGTGATGTGCCGTATTGGTATAATACTAGAGGGTTGTAACACGTGCTTCAACTCATATGTCCATGCAAAAGGTTTGTTGGTGTGTCTGGCCCATTGATGGCTACTCGGTCTCGGGCTAATCATAATATGGGAGTAATTATTATGGGCTAATGGTTTAACTATCAGGGATTACGGGAAAGCCAAGACAGAGAAGGCACAGAGCAAGCCTGATGCTGTCCAGAAAGCCAAGAAGCCAAAGGAGAAAAAGGAAGGAGTGGACGAGGGAGGCTGGCAGATTGTCCCCAAGAAGGGCTCTGGACAACTGACTAAACAGGTCTTTGTTCATCTCTGTGTTGTCGTTTCAAAGTGATTGACGGTGGTTGTTTGATCAGGACATACTGCGACTGTTGTTTGGAAAAGACGTGAAGGATGTGGATGTGGATGTGGATATGATAATCAAGAAGAGGAATGAACTGATATCTGACAGGGGGAAAAAGGCAAGAGCCTTCTACACCACACTCTACCAGAATTCCGTGTGGCACTGTTTACGTTTGAAGCTTTGACCTCTGTGATTTTCACACGTCGTTAATACCGTTTTGGCCAACAACTCTTTTTTTTGCTACGAGAGTATAGTTCTTAGTAAAGTTCCCCTTTGAAAGGTTCGATATATTATACACCCACAGCAAAAAACAAAGGATGTGTGCCAATATTGATCTTCATGTGTACTTAACGTGCAGTACTCTCTGCTGTAGACGGTTGAGATGTCCAGCCTCCAGGAGAAGCTGAGATGGCTCATGGATGTTGCCTCTCAGAACAGCCTTGGTTAGTCTATACCTCCATACAGTAGATGAGTCAGTGTGTGAGTGTACTCACTGTCTTGTGGGACCGTGTAGGAGTTGGAGTGAAGCTGAGACTACTGGCTGATCTCATAGAGACCACCTTTGACTTCTCCAGTGTTGCCTACGCCATGAAGGAGGACGCCTGGAAAACGTATGTGGCCACTCTCTCAGCAGTGCATGTGTTCAGAACCACAACTGTAAAGTGCTGTACATACAAGAACTCTATTACCTTGGAGTGGAATGGCTTTGCTTGTGACAGCTCAAGCACATTGCCTTTCCCCCCAGCACCACCTATTTGTGATGTTTATATTGTGCTCCCACCTACCAATTCTCTCTCCATCTTTTTACTCTTCTATATTCAACCTTCGAGACTTTGAAAACCTAGTGCATACTGACATTCTCCCATTGCCTGTATGCACTTTGCCAATGTCTCTGGTTAAATTCATATTATGAGTATGTAGTATATATGTGTGATGTGGCTGTCACTGTGTGCTGCAGGTGTGTGGATGAATTGTCTGAGCTGCTGACTCTGCTAGAGGAGAACCCCGCTGTGGAGTATAGCACTCTGGTCCGGGACGATGAGGAGAACTTTAAGGTCTTGTCGTGAGGGGAAGTTAGCCGTCCTTTGTTTTGTGTCGCTCTGGTCAGGAGGGGGTAGGGATATTGTTTGTGCTGCTGGGAAGCGCGCCCATGACCAATTGTGCTAGAATAGCTATGTATGTATGTAGTACAAACTCCCTGTATCCCTGGCCGTCTCTATTAGGAAGGGGAGGGCCAGAGAGTTAAGATACAGTGAAATATCCTCACCCTGTTTAAGGGATATTTTTCCTTTGTTTTCTGTGGCTGGGAATCACATAATGACCAACAGTTACGTAATCCCAGCATTCCATCCTGGCCATCACTATTAGGAAGGGGAGGCCAGAGAGTTAAGATACAGTGAAATATCCTCACCCTGTTTAAGGGATATTTTTCCTTTGTTTTCTGTGGCTGGGAATCACATAATGACCAACAGTTACGTAATCCCAGCATTCCATCCTGGCCATCTCTATTAGGAAGGGGAGGGCCAGAGAGTTAAGATACAGTGAATATCCTCACCCTGTTTAAAGGATATTTTTCCATAATGACCAATAGTTACGTAATCCCAGCATTCCATCCTGGCCATCTCTATTAGGAAGGGGAGGGCCAGGTAGTGAGGATACAGGGAAATATCCTCACCCTGTTGGAGAGAGCTGACGATGAGTTCATCAAGATACTCCAGTCTACCGATGCCCACTCCACAGACTATGTCACCAAGTATGTATATACGTAGTCGTCATCTATATATATACATCAATTCATCATATTACACAGTATAGGTACAGGTCATTAGTGTGAATTATTTGTGGCTACATGTTATAATGTTTGTGGAAGAAAGATAATGTAGTTTACTCACACGGAATTGTATATACGCAAAAAGCATGGATAGGGCCAACCCTAACTTGTTTGAAACTTTTAGCATGGCCGCAAGTGAGATGAGTATAACCTGTGCACTTGCCCTCTCTCTCTGTGTGTGTGTACGTGTCCTCTCTCTCTCTCCTCTCTCTCTCTCTGTGTGTGTGTGTGTGTGTATACGTGTCCTCTCTCTCTCTCTCTCTCTCTCTCTCTGTGTGTGTGTGTGTGTGTACGTGTCCTCTCTCTCTCTCTCTCTCTGTGTGTGTGTGTACGTGTCCTCTCTGTGTGTGTCCTCTCTCTCTCTCCCTCGTGTGTGTGTGGTGGTGTGTGGTGTACGTGTCCTCTCTCGGCCTCTCTCTGTTGTGTGTGTGTGTGTACGTGTCCTCTCTGTGTGTGTCCTCTCTCTCTCTCCTCTCACTCCGTGTTTGTGTGTACGTGTCCTCTCTGTGTGTGTCCTCTCTCTCTCTCTCTGTGTGTGTGTGTGTGTGTGTGTACGTGTCCTCTCTCTCTCTCTCTCACGCTCTCTCTCTCTCTGTGTGTGTGTGGTGTGTGTGTGTGTGTTGTACGTGTCCCCCCTCATCTCCCTCTCTCTTCTCTCTCCTCTGCGCCTCTCTCTCTCTCTGTGTGTGGTGTGTGTGTTTAACGTGAGTCCTCTCTTTGGGTGTGTCCTCTCGCTCCTCCCTCTCTCGCCTCGTCTCTCTTCCGCTCTCTCTCTCTCTCTGTGTGTGGTGTGGTGTGTTTAGCTGGAAAGGGGTGGGGGGGGCAGTGGGGGACAAGTGGGAAAGGGCGGGAACATTCAAAACCCTCGCTCCATCTCCCTCTCGTCTCTCTCTCTGTGTGTGTGTGTGTGGTTACGTTTCCTCTCTCCCCTCTCTTTTTTTGTATTCCTCAGGGGGGGGGGGGGGGGTGGTCTCCATCCCGTATCACGTACACTCCGCTAGGTGAAGTCACGAGACACTCGGTCAGCACGGAGGAGACGGGTTATCCGGGGGGCGTCTGGGGGGGGGGGAATAACTCAGGGACACTGGGCTCCTGGTGATGTGAGGCGGCTTCCTCTATTTTTTTTGCCTCCGACCGAGAAAGAGACTGGAGGTGCCACTGATGCAGGCAACAGAACCCGCTCTGACATTCAGCAAACTCGTGCTGGTAGCGGGGGTCACATAGGGGTCTAAGCGCAAAGTGCGCTCGCAGCGTCAACAATGTCTCCTAACAAAGGAGGGCGGGCCGCTCGGATTCAATAGAACAGAATCTCGTCCTCTTCCACTCTTCAAAAGTATGCGGCCCTCATCGATGCTCTCTCCTCAACGGATCTTCCCAGACAAAATGCTCTCGTAGCTGATTTTTTATTTTGATTTTTTTTTGTTTCCTTTTTCTCATCAGAAGAAGTCACGATCGGTCAGTGAGTGAAATCTCGGTCAGGGCCGACTTCATCCTCCGTGTCTCATGGAGATTCAAATCTCGGGGGCGGTGGATACCGGGGGGGGGGGGGGGCGAGGGAGGGCGTTACGTGCGGGGGGGCGGGTGCGGGGGGGGGGGGTCGGGGGGATCGGGGGGGTCGGGGGGGGGGGGAGGTGGGCTGAGGGTCTCGAGGCAGACACCGCAGAGGAGTGAACGACCCCTGACAGTAGCGGAGTGCCACGATCCTCTCTCTCTCTCTCTGTGTGTGTGTGTGTATACATGTCCTCTCTCTCTGTGTTGTGTGTAGACTCCAGGGTGAAAAGACGGTGTGCAGTCTCATCCAGAGGGTGCAGGCCTACCTGGAGCACCGTCTCCTGGACTCTCATCCCAACGTTCTCTGCCAGATATACATCCGCAGAATTGAGCACCTCTATTACAAGGTACGTTGTAAAAATGTTAGTTGATTTTATTTTCTCCTATTTTGTGTTCTCGCAAAGAAAATGTTTCTAGTGTTTGCCCGTTTTCTTGTTGATGCTCAGCAGCACCACAAGTTATTCTGCTGATTATAATTACTCCTCGGCACGCATGCGCAGCGAGGGTTACAGTAGTTGGTTTGTCTGTCTGTCTGTCTGTCTGTCTGTCGTCTGTGTGTCTGTCTGTCGACGCTTATTCTGGAACTACAGGCTACGAGGCGGCCTATTAGCAATACCAGCGGCTTCAGAACTACGCGAGCCTGAAAAAGAAAAGGGCGATTTTCCTGAAACAACTGCGTTCGAGAGATATGCCGTGAAAACAAGCGAAAAGGCCAATATCACATATTAGCACTGGGCTTACCGCGACCTGATCCACTCGCTCCTGTGTACCTTGGGGGCTCAGGAAATCACAACGAATGGCATGTACTGACTCCCTGCATGCTATCTACTACTGTAACTAGCGCGTGTCAGACTCTCCGCGAGCTACTAGCAGGTGACCACGAGTAAACGCATGAATAGTCCAGCCCATCAATTAACAGTATCGCGCATGCGCAGTTCGCCGAGAGTTTTCACTTTAGTGCTTTTCATTTTTTTGTGCGTATGGATCTTTGCTCTTGCACATGATGGATCTTGACCCTCAAAAGCTTGTCTTAGAGATATGTAGCTGTAGAGATAAGCTCTCCACGATTATGAATGCATCGCTCCATCTCCTACTTTCGAAAAGCACGTGTACAGCTGCTAGGCTTTGGTGGCTTTGCAAACTTGATATAACCACAGCACAAGTTGGAGTGACCTCTGTGTCCAGTACAACATTGTGTACATTTTGTGTACAATATAATATAAACATTGTTTACATGTGTAGGTTGGTCACAAGAACTTGGTGAGTGGTGCAAGTACCCAAGCGGCCGAGAAGGAGGGTGGAGAGGGGGAGGAGGGAGAGGAGAGGGAGACTCTCCAGGACCAGCGGGCCGAGGAAGAGCCTGAAGACTCCCTCAAGCTCATGACTCAGCTCACAAAGTTCATCTACAACTGCCAGAGTGGGGATATGGGCCGCATACGGACACGTGCCATGCTCTGCCAGATCTACCACCACGCCTTGCATGACAGGTACGTATGTGGAGTCAAGAGCAGGTGTCACTAAAGAGGGGATGTGCTGCAATGTGGAGTTTTATGCTCTTCCACAATGCTTTGTGCCGAGAGTTTACACTTAGTGTTTTTCATAGTAAACTTCAAGGCAGTCAGCAAATGGACGTGAATATACTTCTGTGGTGCATGCAATGGTTTTAACCTCTGTAGGTGGTACCAGGCCAAGGACCTGATGATGATGAGTCACTTGCAGGAGGGCATTCAGCATGCCGATGTTCCTACTCAGGTATAGGGGGAATGTCACACGAATGTGTCTTATATAATGAGCAGTATTCATCTATTGTGCCACCTACCACACGTAACTTGACTTGATGCACCCTTAATGCTCACAACTGCATTGATGCATTACTAATACTTGCCTGTGTCTGTTAGTGGCTAAAACTTCCATTTTGTGTTGTATGCATGCAGATCCTGTATAACCGCTCGCTGGTCCAGCTGGGTATGTGTGCCTTCCGTCATGGGATGATCAAGGATGCACACGATGCTCTCATGGATGTCCAGTCCAGTGGCCGCTCCAAAGAGCTGCTAGCACAGGTGACTGCATACAATTACACTATGCTGCCAGGGGTGTACTAGAGCGCTGCAGAGTTTCGTGGGTTCGAATCCCACCCATAGCAGCTCTTCTTTTTTCCTTGGAAAAAGAGCTGTCCTGGGTATAGTTGACTTGTTTGTTGTGCCTTTGCCTCTCTTCCTCGTAGTTGACACACACATGGTGTATGCTGTATGCACCATAGAGCTACTAACCATACCAAATGGTTGGAAAATAGGAGAGTACAACGAACAATTTGACTGGGTGTAGCTAAATGAGTGCGGAGAAAGATAGGCCGCCCAAAACGTATTGACCCTACTTACAGTATAGCTTGAGTGTGCTGTGCAAATCATTTCGAGATTTTAAATACAGTTAAAATCTCAGAATGATAACTTTTATGTACTACTGTAATCATGAGCTTCTGATGATGGGGGCAGGGTCTCATTAGCCGCCACGAGAGGAGTGTTGAGCAGCAGAAGGTGGAGCGACGGAGACAGGTGCCGTTCCACATGCACATTAACCTGGAGCTGATGGAGTGTGTCTACCTCACCTCTGCCATGCTCATGGAGGTCCCCTACATGGCAGGTTCGTCCTGAGTTTCACTGAACTAGAATTATCGTAGTACGGGTACTGTTGATGTGTGTGCCCTGGTAGCTTAGTTTGTAGAGTGCTTGCACGCAGGGTCCCGGGTTTGAATCCCACCTAGGGTGGCTCTTCTTTTCTCCTTGGAAATAAGGGTGTAGTTACTTTGTCTACCTCATTGACACAACTCCACATGCATGCTGCACAGGCTTGTCTGTAGTTGGGGACCAGGTGAACCAACACATCTGTCCACAGCATAATATATGGAGTGCTTTAGAAGAGAGCCTGTAGAGTATGTGAGTAGTAGTACGTGCAGGTCATGAGGAGCCCTGTGGTTCACACCACAAGCCACATGCTACTGCGGTGGGGCATATCTTGTTAGGCACCAGTGGAAACACCGGATGGAAAGAAAAAACAAACGGCACTTTTCTGATTCCACGAGTAGTGAGTACATAGTTACGTGAGCCCTGCATGAACATTATAGATTTAGTGCTTCTTGTGCTGAAGGACAAACAGATAAAACCTCTTGACATCCATGGCAAATGTGGGATTATTACCTAATCAAGCCAACAAGCTTCATCTGATGTGTTTATACCCGGATGGAAAGGCGCGCTTAATACCGCAAGGACGTAAATCACTCTGTCACCGTAAAGAAATTGCACTATACCACGTATTGTACATTGTTCCCTCTTGCTCCATGTATGCAAGTGGGTATGTTTGATTGTACGTTCTGGGTGAGCAGCTGCAAAGACGGAGGGTCGACGTCGGATCATCTCGAAGAGCTTCCACCACCAGCTGCGCTACCACGAGAAGCAGCCTCTGGTCGGACCGCCGGAGAGCATGAGGGAGCACGTGATTGCCGCCACTCACGCTATGAGGAGGGGAGACTGGAAGAAGTGCCGCAACTACATATTGGAGATTAAGGTCCAAGACATTCCTTCCTCTCTTTGCATTGAATAAAGCATCCTTTATTCACAGGCATACCTTACTCCTTATGATGCACTGATGCTTTAGTATGAGGCAGAACCACAGTGCCATTAATAGATAGAAGGATCATTTCTTTGGAGGTCTTTTCCGTATTTTGACTGTACTGTATATACTCAATTCCGTTGGTGTTTTAAACCACCTCTCTCCTTCTCTCTTTCTCTCTACTGTCGAATAGGTGTGGGAGTTGTTCATTGACAAGGATCCTGTGAAAGAAATGCTTGCCAGGTATTGTACTCACATTTTGCAAGCCTCGCATTTACTGTGCAATTGTATAATGGAAAATTGTGTGCTGAGTTAGAGTGTATTGCTCATTTACTCAGGAAAATACAAGAGGAGTCACTTAGGACATTCATCTTCACCTTCAGTGAGACATATGACACCCTGAGGTAATGAGTCACCTTGTGGATCTGTGTGGGTGATGTGGGTGATGTGTGTGTGTCTGCAGTCTGGAGAGGCTGTCCGAGATGTTTGAGCTGCCAGTGAAAGAGGTCCACAGTATCGTCAGTCGAATGATCATCAAGGAGGAGCTCCTGGTTAGATTAAACACACATGTAGGCATGTCACACAAGATATTGATTGTGAGCAAGATTCCCAGTCATTGATGTGGTGAACCTTGCTGCGTGTATATAGGCATCACTGGACGAGCCAACGAGGACCATAGTGCTTCATCATGCCAAGCCTAACAGGCTCCAGTGTCAGACTGTCCTACTGGCCGAGAAGGTTATTAAATTGAAACCATCCATGTGTTTCTCTCAGCTGTATGATAAGTAGTTTCTGTCACTTGTTTCCATTATGTTTTCTACGTTTTCCTGGGTGTAATAAATCTCCTAGCCTCGTCCCCAGGCCCTCTCTTGGAGGAGAGAGGACCTGGTATCCCACTGCGTGTCTCAAGCACTGTCAGGAGAATTTACCGTAAATTGTGACTGTGTTATCCTAAGAGCACAGTTGTTGTATTTCACGGGAATGTATGGTATTTTGTCGTTTGTGTGCTTTCTGGGTTGAGAGAGGTAGATGTATTGACGTGTTTGGGATCGAGGAAGGAAACAATCTCTCCAGTAGATAGTGCCTGTCCCCGTTGTCCAGGATGATGGACTATGTACATGTATATACCGCAGTTGTAGGCTGAGATTCAGCACTTTGAGGCTAACCTCCTAGTCTCTAGTCTCCTTGTCCACGTGTACATGAAAAGTTTCTGATGGTGGTACTGAGTTACACGTTTTCTTGTAGCTATGGAGCATGCGAATGCCAGGCCCTCTTTCCTACGACAGAGCCGGGGGAAGAGGACATGCATGTTTCTGCCGTAAGCCTAGGGTGAGAGACTAGAGCAGTGCATGAGGGAAATCGTCAAATTTTGGTAGCGGTGACCTGCCCTTGATGATTACAAAACTTCATCCACTCGCATTCATATACGCAGATCAGTACACTGGCTGACCACAATGAAGAGCTGATGAAACTCAAGCACGCTGGGCCATGGAGTGAGTTAACTAACATAATTATATCCCTTGCCACTCTCAAAATAATAATGCACATTGTTTGTGTATATCTCCTCTTACCTGCATATGTACGTAGTTACCCCTCTTCATTGTGCCATCTGCAGGTGTTCAGAACCAGAATGCTCCGTTCTCTCGCCATCCTCACAGCAACTGGCAGAGCAAGTTCCGCAGGGGACAGCATTCACACCGCTAACAAGAACTATGCTGCATGTTTCCCATTTTGCTTGAACTATTATATACTGTGGCTCTGGATCAGCGTAGTGATGATTGCAATCACTCTTATTGCTATCTATATCTTGAATCAATTCGCGTTCACCTGAGCCCAGGAAGTAGTTGTGTAAACTGTTATACTACAGGCACCACATATTTATGACATACTTTTCTATGGGACATACAGCTAACTTTTGGCAGATAAGGTTTCATGGTTAGTGATGAAGGATACCGGCAGAATGGGAAAGTTGCGCAATGGTGTAAGAGCATTTTATGTATAAAATATGACTATTTTTCGAGGGCTCGGGTGAAGACAAACAGACTTTAGATGTTAGACTACATAATTCTGATTCAGATTTGATGGCACATGAATGTGGTGCAGTTCAAGGGTAAAAAAAGAGAGCAGTCATTGGTGTAATAGACTAGCTCCCCAGTCACTATACATCAGCACGTGTAAGCTGCCGCAACAGACTACACCAATATTAAACTGCAAATGCACCAAACTAAATCTCTAGAATGAGTTTTCCAATGTTCTTGTTTTCCCTCATGGTGGAGTGGGCCTGACTGGCCTGGTCCAGTGGGTAGACGTGGTGGATTGGTACTGTCAGCGGCCCTCCGTCTCCAAACAGAGGGAGACAGCAACCTGCAAACTGTTGAAGTATGTGGAGGGGGAACTTATGTGAGCTCAGCCTGGCAAGGGCATTTTTTTTGCAAATTACCAGGCTCCTCCCATGCACATTATATTGGAAAGGCAAAGACATAAAAAGAACGCCGCACTTCGAATAGTACTTTTATATATAGTAGCCGCCCTTGAATAGGCACCGCAGGTTAGTGGCGCTGAAACAAATAGTACCCGCGGCTACTGATGGAGGAAATACGGTAGTGTAGCTGAAGTTAACCTCCTGGACAAGTCTGTGCTTGTAGTGCAATGATCTTGAGCGGAGAGTGGAGCAAACAAGGCTGACCCTCTTCCTCAGCAGAACACCCATATCCAGAGGGTTCTCTGTGACACCTCCTCCCAACTGATATATACCGAGATTGCAGAGTTTATCCCTCCATAATGAAGGTATTGAGAAGGTTTTTACCAGTCCAAGGAGGACGATGCGACCGTCCACTGCCACACACCGAGTGTGATTCTCCCAGTAACTGGCTCCAACAAAATCTATTATCACGTCAGCACCTGCAATTCAACACACTAACAATGAGTCTTGGATTCAACTGGATTTAGCCTGTCCAGAAGACACTTTCCCCATAAATTTCGGGAAATTATCATACCCTTATTCCCAGTGAAGTTAAGAACTTCTTCTGCAAAGTTTTTCTGTTTGTAGTTGATGGATAGGTGGGCACCATACTCCCTACATACCTTCACCTTTTCATCCGTACCTATAGATACATACACACACAGTTGTATATAAACCTTGACTGCACGACATGTGAGTAAGGTAACCTGATGTAGTGATGATTGTGATGTTCTTGAAAAGAGCCTTACACAGCTGCACTGCTGCCAAGCCCAACACCACTAGCTCCCTGGAGTAAACAGTAAAGACAGAATAATATAAGATAGTCTTGCCAGACTGTGTGCGGGCAGGCAGAAAAACAATCTTTGTTGTCAACCCAGAATACGTGCATGGCCTGGAAGATTACATAGCTTCTCACCGCGTGGATTAGGATGGTTTCGTTATCTTTCAGATGGCCATTCCAGGTGAGGGCTTGATAGGCAGTCAGGAATACCTCCACTGGGACAGAGAAGGCGTGCACATTACCTCTCACTCAGAGCTCTAATGTAGTAGCTACTCACTTATCCCAGCAGCCTGGGGGAAGGTGACTCCACTTGGGATCTTGGTCACTGTCTGGTATGGCACTGCAGCATACTCTGCAGTTTCAAGCACAGTGTGTCCGATCTATTAGCCATAGGTGTACAGTGCTGACCTGCATATCCACCTCCTCCCACCAGAGCCATGACCGGATCTCCTTTCTTTGAACCTGTCAGGCCAGCCACTGCATCACTTATCTCCTCCACAACACCAGACACTGAATACAGAGACATCCATGTTGGAATAGAATAGGCTTTGTATATTGAACTAGCAAAGTATCAGTGTGCTCCTACTGTGTATAACCTAACAATCTCTGACAGTTGAACACGTTTACCCTCTACTCCAAGTATCTGGGAGTCCCCAGGAGGAGGGGGATATCTGCCAGCTGCCTGGAGGAGGTCCAGTCTATTCACCCCCGCAGCCTTCACCTGCAACAGACTACAGCTAGAGCTAGCTTCTCGTACAAAGGTTCCGTGCACAAGTGAATGTCCACTTGCACGAGCCATTTTATTGTTACCTTGACCAACAGCTCTCCCTCCCGGAGCACGGGGCGAGGAGTGGTTGAAAGCAGGGAGAGAGAGCCGTCTGCAGGATCGTGCTGCACGCTGATCATCGTTACAGCGGCGGTGTCTGCAGGGCAATGAGGGTCCAGTCCGCAATGTTCGAGAGCTAGAGTCAGGAAAAACGTAGAGGAGAGGATGTAGCAAACTGCAGCAGCAGCAGGCATCAGCTCGATCAGCGGTTCAAAGTTCGCAGTCCGCAATGAGAATGAGCAGTTGCGGCTCGCCCCCCTCCTACAAACATCGCTGATCTAGAGCTTTGGCTCACTGTGCAGCAAGAGAGGTATGGCTGTAACGCAGTCTCTCCAGCTGGTCAACGTTGTAGTACCCAAGGAAGGAGAGGCAGACGACGTCTCTTTCATAAGAACGGTATTTAGCTCCATTGTAGCAGCTACCGTGCAACACAACACGGCGTATCTTGCACAGGAGGACGTGGTTTGTCTACTGTGCAGCAGTGGGGATGGCTCGAGGAAGGGCTACCTGGCCGCTGACGGGTTCGGCTCCGAGTTTTGCTACCTGGAGCCCGACACTAAGGGAGAGGTCAGTCCCATGCAATCACTTTTCAGCCTGCCTCTGAGAATTATACACGTGTTCTGCAGTCCACTGTCTCTTATGAGCCATCTGAGTTGTGGAAGTGTACCTTTCAACTTGAGGAAGCACTCTCTGTCCATGCTCTGAGCACTTACAAACCCAAAAAGGTGCCCAGGCTGGAATATGAACGCACTAGTACCCTACATGTTACTCCAACAGAAGCAGGTCCAGAGAAAGATACTAATGTATGGCCAGGCAGTTCTCCTCCGTCATCAAGGGACAAAGAAGGTGAGTTAGGGGGAACAACCCTTTGTGTTGTGCTCTGTGAATGCTGCTCGATTCACTCTCCGTTGGTTGTTCAAACAGCTGCTGCGTTGCCTGGCATCCTCTCCGGCCAACGACAAACTGGCCCACCACATTGGATTCAGTGAGAAACCAGGTACGTACGTGTGCACATTGAAACGGAAAAAGGAAATCATCTTTTGCCACAATACCTGATGAGTGCTCTTACCACAACCGCCGTATGTAAGTCAAGTGTTTGTTTATCTCAGTGATGGTGGATGGTAGTTGCTGGTTCGTGGTGTGTCCATCGACCAAGCAACGGTCTGACGGAGAAAAGGTGTATATTTCATTATATTGTGTGCTTGCTATTTCACATCATACTTAATGCTGTCATTTCCGTGTTACCACATTGGCAGTATATGTATGTATGTACTTATTTGCCGCCATGAAAATGATGTATTATGCGCATGTTATTGGGTGCAGGTTATAGCAGGCGATAACATTCTCCTGCGCAGTGTGTCAAATGAGCGATTTCTCTCAGCCCATCAGCAGAGTGGGGAGAGTGACATAGCCAAGGTTTGGGGATTTCGTTGACGCTCTTTGATATTGAGAACAGTATATAGGGACAGTGCATACAGTATGTGGTAGCAATACTCTCAAGGCTTGTGTGTTTAGTTCTTTGATGGGGGCTATATACTTACGTAAGCGCTTGTGGTCAAACTTAGTCTTCTGGATGCAGGATTTTTTATATGTAACATTCTGTATGTGACTCTAAATACGCATGAAAATTACACCTCTCACTTTCCCGTTCAGTAATACATTGCATTCAGTAATGCATTCTCTCCTGTATGTATGGCATAATAAGTTTGTTTTGTACACACACCCACACAACAACGCACAGCATTCAAACATAGTGCAGGCTTCCTTCCAGCTGTCAGTGTGGGCTCTGAACATTGTGTGTTCTGGCAGTGCTCGAGAGGCTGCCAGTGGTCAGTTACACACATGCACCTCTGATTGGCGAGCTGGAGCGAGCCAACCTAGTCGTGTCAACGGGCCGATTGTCCATTTATTTATTTATTTCTCTCCGGCGATGTCACCCACACCGTAATGTTGTATGTCATTCTAACTAACTGACAGCCAGCAAGCGAGTTCCAATTGTACGTGTCAGTAGTAGTTACGTAGCTACATGTACCTATAACATTTGCTACGGTAGAGCTGGCGGGAGGCAGCGTCCAGAAACAGCCGAGCGTAGCACGAGACAGAGCTTGCTCGAGGCAACGTCTCGGTTTAGAAATAGCTGTGGAGCGGGAAACACGCCTTTCTCGCCGCAAGGGATCGGCGACTAGCACGAGACAGGGATCGCAGGAGGCAGCATCTCGCTTCAGAAAACATGCCTTTCCTGCAACTGTGCGGGCATGGCGTGCAGCCAAAACACCATCACACGTAACAAAGGCACCAAGCTATAATGCTCCCTGTGCATGCTCACCAACGGCTGTATATATAATTGCAGTTGGGTTGCTCCCGCTCGTCAACATTCATCTAGTATGTGTACGACATACATTGTGGGGCATTGTGTGAGTGCTGTGGTCGCACTGCAGGGTATGTGAATGGAACGGATGTGATTCATCTCCTCCACTGCCACGGAGCTGGCGACAGCCTCTGCGTGGCCGCCCGGAGCTGTGATAAGAATGTCACTACAGAGAAGACATGCTCGTCAGTTACAACATGAGTCCTACGTACATGTGGCATGTGTGCTCGTGTGAGGTGTCAGCATGTTCGCACACTAACCTCCTGTAGCTACTGTACACGAGTGTGTCCTTTTGAAACCAACCCACTTTTTATAATTTCGAAGCTAAAGTTAATTGTGATTTCGCCACCCTGCTGCAAAGTGTATGAAATATGCTCTGTGCATGTATTTTGCTGTAGGGATGTATGCTACGAGTGTCCAGTAAAGGCACCACTTAGAACCCTCTGGAGAGTTGAACTCTTTCAAATGAAGTACGTTTTTGTTTCGACATTGAATGCTGCAAGTTTTTAACCAGAGTACTGTACACTTCAGCCAACTGCAATGTACTGTATACATGCGTGCACATTGACCATGAAAATCTAGTATTGTACACCTAAACCTGGCACAGACATGGGTTACTTGTGTACGTGACTGTGCACACCCCCTACTGTTCATAACCACTGTTCCTAATCTGTTGTGTGTGTGTGTGTGTGTATGTGACTGACTTCCTCCTCTCGTGACGTGTCACTAGGTTTGGGGGAGGGTTTACCGAGTGGCGACAGCCGTTCAGACTGCGGCACGTGGTGACTGGCAGGTTCCTGGGAGTGAGGTCAGTGTGTCGAACCAACTGTGGGGGTGGGGGTGGGGGTGGTAAGGAGGGGATGGGGGAGGAGGGGAGAGGAGAGAACCACCCCCAGACTGGTACAGCTGATGATAGACACATTGCAGTGCTCCTGGAGCCCAGCGAGGCCACTTTCAAGGCATCGGCATTCTACTTCACTGATGCCACGGTACGTTATGTAATCTTCAGTAATCTAGTCGCATTTTTTGTCACATGCTCTGCCCTCAAAATATGTCTGGTGTTGTTGTGTTACATAACCGTTGAACATTAGCTCAAGCATGTGACCTAAGCTCTGTTCATGCCCTTTGCTTGCGAACCAATGTGCATGTAATTATAGAATTAACACATTTTTTAGTGAGGGAACGTAAGTTCATAAAATGAGTTGTTTTACATAATGTATAGCATTAGAGACGGTGACAGCACCTTTGGCATAAACAATGAATTCAGACGACTAGGCTCTCTTTGTGTATCTTACTGCAGTCACCAGTGACAACTGCGGCCTCGTCTCTCTCGGGCAAGGCAGCTGTAGTCTGCCACGAGGCGATGGGCCAGCCACAGGTAAAGTTTGGTGACTCTGAGGTTCTCCTGGTCCACGTGGACTCTGGGAGACTGATGGGCCTCCCGGTGACCCAGCACACTCGCCACCTCCTGGGCCGGAGGGAGAGGAGGAGGGTGGTGGTCCAGCGAGAGAGACACCAGGGGCAAGAGTTCACCGTCACGCGGGGCTCGGAGGAGCAGGCAAAGGCCGCCAGCATCATACAACTGATGGAGACCTGCATGAGGAGCTACGTCAAGAAGTGAGTTTGGCACCTGGGGAAGATTTAATGTCATGTAGTGTCATTCTTGTGTGATTGATGTGTGTGTGGTAGCCAACTGAATGCAACGTTGGTGTATAATGCTCATCATAATTAACTGTTACTCCAGCGTAATTATACTGTGGGAGATGTCATTATGTAGGTGTGGGGTTTACTCTAAGATGTGCATGCAGTAGATCACGATGCTTTTGGCTTGTTTCAAGTGTTAAGTGTCACAGAGTGTGTGGGCATGAGAGGGAGGTTTCCAATTACAACCCTCTCTTTCCTGTGTGTTGTTTGTGCTTTTTGATTTAGCAAATGAATATTAGACACTTTCTCTCTCTTCTTTCCCAATCCTCTCTCCCTCTCCTTACAACCCTCTTCTACCTATGTAGGCTGCTCTGTTCTACATGTTCAGAGTCTGAGAGCCTGTCTTTTAACCTTATCCACCTCCTGGACGACCTCATCCACTACTTCCATCTCCCCCCACCTCCCCTCACCTCACCCCCTCCCCTCTCACACACCTCTCACCCTCCCCAACCTCCCTCCTCCTCCTCCTCCTCCTCCTCGCAGACCCACGACTCGTGGCAAGCCGAACTCTGTCTCCTCCGAGAGAGACAAGAACTCTTCCAGAAACAAGGTCTACTCTCGTTCACTCTCAACGTCATAATTGAGACTGGACAGAGCTGTCGCACCAGGTGCACCAAGGTGGGCATACAGATCCACCACAAGCTCTACGAGCTGCTCACGGCCATGATCCGACGCAATCGCAAGAACTGCAGCGAGTTTGCCACCGTCAAGTGGCTCAAGGTGTTCATCGACCAGCTGAGCATGCCGCTGTTCACGCACGACGTCCTGGAGGTTGTCCAGTGTCTCCTCACGGACAGTCCAGAGGTCCTCAACATCATCACCAAGGAACACGTGCAGGTGGGCCTCCAGCCACTGTGGGAAATTAACTCCATTTAGAGAGCACACTTATAGAGTGATGTTCGGTGTACTCACGTAATACTTACACACCATATTCGACTGTATGAAGTCAAGAGCAAAGTAAATGCAACCAAGAGCAATAGCAAGCACAAAGTCATTTTTGGTATAATAATGGTCTGTGGTGAGAAGTTGTTTGCATCAGCTCGGTGACATTTTCCACGGTGGGTGTAAAACTGTTCCACAGTGTGTAAGAAGATTAGACATCAAACCATGGCACGTGCAAGAGATACTGTAGCTCAGATGACAAAGCAATTAATAGCAGATAGCATTCCAATGTAATACACCCGAGGCTAAAATCGCGGTTGATGCGAAAGTTGATATTGTGTTGGTTGGTCTCCTCCCTCCAGGTGATAGTGAACCTTCTGTTGTCACGAGGTCGTGATGACATCGTCATGAAACTCCTCTCCTCTCTGTGTGTTTGCTCTGACGTCGCCATGAGAGACAAGCAAAGACTCATCTATCAACACCTCGTTGATTGCAGGGACTTACTCATCCAGACTTCCCTCCATGACTACATACACTGGTGAGAGTGTCTCTTCAAACTAACCTAGAACTAAACACGAGTTCAATTTATTTTTGAAATTGCATTACTGTGTGGAAACCTCTGCATACAGAATAATTGTACAATTCAGACAAGTACGTAGGTTCAGGTAGGTTTTTTGTTGGACTATATATGACAAGTACAGCTAATGATAACACCCAGCTAATATTATGTAATCGAAACGTTTCCCTGACTCTATCTCTTGTCTGAGTGCAGTCTTCATCCTGGTCTGTACATTGGAGCTAATGACGGGGGCAACTCCAATCAGAGATGGTATTACGAGGCCCGGGTCACCCAGCTCCCTGCCAAAAACACCAGCAAACACTTTCATCTCCGTGTCGGCTGGGCCCATCCCACCCTCTTCCAGCCACGCCCCTCCAGTAACAGCATCATCACCACGTCTGGCGGGGTCGGCGACGACTTGTACTCTGTCTCATTCGATGGAGAGTTCATCTGGGTCGGAGGTCACCCAATCAAATGTGGCGGGGAGCCCCCATCATCAAACCACCGTAAGGGTGTTCTTCAGCGACAGGTCTCTCTCTCCGCGTCGCCTGTGCCACCGGTGGGAGACCAGGAACCAGAGAAATCCGGGACGTGTGGGAGGGTGGGGGAGGGAGACGTGATAGGGTGTTACATGGACCTCGGGCGAAGGGAGGTGTGGTTTAGTAAAAATGGAGCCACAGTGTCAGGAGTTCTACGACTTCCTCACTTTGATGATGACGTGATAACCCCTGCAATTAGCATGTCCAGTAATGTCAGGTACAGACTCTTGTACACCGTGTTTTGTGTTACCGCATGTGAGTATATACTTGATGATAAATGGAGTGGGTTTGAATGAGGGCGTGGGACAGAAAAATCATAACACTGTTTCAGTTTTGCTTTTGCTCATTAGACAAAGTGGGCTCTCTATTTTTCTCTGTTACAGCATGGTGCTGTCGTATGGAGGGAGCATGGGTGAGTTCTCCCATCCTCCCCCCTCTGATTACGCAGGGCTGTGTGAGGCAGCCCCTCCATCTAGCAGCACTGACGAGCTCAGACTGCGTCCATTTATCACCCTGGGGACGTCCGGTGACCTGGCTTTGGCCGGGCCGGAGATACACGCCAGCCACGAGGGGTTTGTCCCTGTCCCCAATTGACACGGGGACCTCTCTCTCCCCGGGTCCCTGCATGGTGTCAGAGAGAGACTGGCTCAGCAGCTCCATGAGGTCTGGGCCAAGAACAAGATTGACGCTGGCTACACATTTTCTGAGGTAAGGTCACTTGAATGAGAGACTGTTCCATTATAATTATGCAATAATTGTGTATGTACACCAGTACGATTACGTAAATACAGCAAATACAATTGTGCAAGAGGCGAACTCACCATTGTGCTGCTCTTAGTTTCCCTACATAGCTGAAGTGGTGCTAGTGCTAGTGATAGTGGGGAACATGTTCTTCCTTATGTTAAACAGTGGTAAAAACTATGAGCAAAGGTTATGTATGTATGTACATCACATGAAAGCCTGAATCAACAATTCCACGAACAGAGTTAAATCTGGACACAGGGACTTACAGTGAGGAGAGTATGATCACAGTCTAGACTAAATTTGTACTTGCCACTGAAATGTGAAGATCAGTTTTTAATCTTGTACAGGAGCGTAATGATGCGCTGAAGCAGCACCCCATGTTGTGTCCCCTCTCCTCCCTCTCCCCGGAGGACAACCAGTACAACCACTCCATGGCCTACCAGTCCATGGCCACCCTCCTGGTTCTGGGATACCAGATAGTGCCTCCTGATGCTCGCTCCTCCAGCCAGCTCACCTATCTCCACCTGGATGAGGAGACGTACAGACAGAGCAACGGGTACGTCCCGCGACCTCTCGACCTGGGGTCGGTGGAGCTGGCGGGAACCTGGAGGGACTGGTTACCAGACTAGCTGAGAACTGCCACAACGCGTGGGCCGCTACCCGCATCAAAGAGGGCTGGACCTACGGGAGGTCCACGGTGAGCTATTAGGCATGGTTTCCAATTGGTCCAAAACCGGACCCTCTGAATAAAGGACACCTCTCTGCAAGGGACACTTTATTCTCGCCAATACCCATAACTATTATACTGTACCTTTGAATAAAGGACACTTTCAATATCCCCAAAGTGTCCCAAGTGTTTCACTGTACTGTGGGGCCAGGTTTTGTTACCAGTCGCTTCTTCCCCTAGCTAGTGGGTGAAGCAGCTCGCTGCGAGACTAAGTCCAACCATACACATGTGGTAGCTGACCAGTATTGCTGTAAGTGAACCTGAATTGTAAACTGCAGGACACAGAGTCCAAGAAAAACCCCTGCCTAGTGCCTTATGAGAAACTGGATCCAGCAACAAAGAAGAGCAACTGGTGAGACACAAAAGTTGTTCCAGTTTTGTTTTATCAAAATGCTCTCTAATTTCTTTGCCAGGGACTCAGCCCATGATACAGTGCGGACAGTGGTGGGTCTGGGTTGCACCATTGTCCCTCCCTCCTCCTCCTCCTCCTTTCTCCGCCACCTCACCAGGGAGTACTCTGAGTCTCAGGTCAAGATAATAAACTTCAGAGGACAGACCTGCTATGCAGTCACCTCTGGGAAATGGTGGGTCACATTGCATTTCATACACCTTTGGCACACCTGTCTACAAGTTGAAGTGTTTACGAATAGCCCTGGCACACACACACACCAGTCTTTTGTATATTATACTCTGCTACATTTACTCTACATGTGTATATACAGGAAGACATTAATTTTGTGCCAAATGCAATTTGGTTTGGGTCGGTTCAATGATTGAAATATGTTCCCCTCCTTGTCTTTCAAATTCTTCTCCCACTGTCTCTTTCCTCCCTTCCTCCCTGCTCCACCTTCCTTTCTTTGTATCTCTTCCCCCTCCTCATTTTCTCTGCCAGGTACTATGAGGTCAAGCTAGTCACAGATGGCATGATGAGAGTCGGATGGGCCACCCCTTCATTTCAACCTCATCTCCCTCTAGGAGATGATGAGCATTCCTATGCTTTTGATGGCTACTTGGTCAGTATTGTCACTTGCTATATATAGCCTTATTGTGACTTGCGTGGGCGGATCAAAGGAGCCGCGAATACTTTTATTTCCCGTATTGTAGTATGCGTTCAATATGAGTAATATTGAACGTTCAATGAAAAAATTATTGAACTAGCATCAGCATCGTACCCATAGTGTAGACAAACACTGTTCTGTAGAGGCTGTAGAGGCGAGGGATGACTGTTCTGTAGAGGCTGTAAAGGCGAGGGATGGCTGAGGCGACCACACCCCTTCATTCAGCTCCCTGTGGCAAGCGAGACCGTGGCCGCGGCACACCGACCGGTCAAACGGCCCAGCGACCTATGAAACGAGTTTCTCTGAGGGAGAAAGAGCCACCATCACGACCTTGTTCGATTACGGTAGCCTCGAGAACAGAGAACTCGCTCGAGAAGCCAGCGAGTGTGCACGTGCGCACGGGTAGTAGGATACGCAGTCGTATTTCTCTCGCTGGAGGTCGACGACTGCTACAAAGTCACAATATAACACATAATGAGCGTCCTATCGTTCTATACATGACTTATGGGAACTCGGGTTGTGTCTCGAGACTCATACAGCACTCGACTGCGCCTCGTGCTGTATGAGTCTCTCGACCACACCCCTCGTTCCCATAAATCACGTATAGAACTCTAAACGCACATTATCTCTTACATACAGTGAGCTGCGATTTTGCTCAGTAACTAGACTGCCAGAAAAGAGAACAATGTAGGATTTATATGTTGATTGCAAAGCGCAAGGTTTTAAAGTTTTGAAGTGAGGTATAGGGTCAAAAATAATTAAGCTACAACGTGCTGTGTCCATAAAAGTTTAAGTATCGCCTTCACTTGAGTTTAAAGTGTACCGATAGATGTATCTGTCGGTGTGTGCACAGGCATGCAAGTGGCACAGTGGAAGGGAGAGTTTCGGCCAGCGGTGGAGTGCGGGTGACGTGGTGGGCTGTCTCCTGGACATGGACCGGGGTCAGGTGGCCTTCACTCTCAACGGAGACCTCCTCCAAGACTCCCTCGAGTCCTCCGTCGCCTTCGAGGGGGTGAGGGGCGCCGGACTCGTCCCTGTCATTACTGTAGCCGCAGGACAAAAGGCCCAACTCAACTTTGGAAGATCAGAGGTATAATACGTGTGCCTACATACGCTACAAGAAGTAAGTGTAGGCTTCATATTAAAGTTTGGATGAGTAGTCAGCAGAATAATTAGTTGTGAGAAAATGTGACCTGATCCATTGTTTAAGTAATTACTTGCTTTACGAAACGAATTGAACGTGTAATATCATACTGTTGTAAAAATCCACTCACAGGAGGCACTACGGAGCAACTTCTCATCACTGGACTATAAACCACTCTGCAGGTGAGCTGCACATCTTATACTTTACCACATTACGTGTCCTAACAGCTAGTATCGTGGGTTTGAATCTCACCCAAGCTCTTCTTTTTTCCTTGGAAAAAAAGACTTGTCCTGGGTGTAGTTGACTTGTTTGCTTTGCCTTGCTATATACCTTACCTCGTTGTTGAAACATGCAAGTAGAACGATTGAACAATTATTGACGTCACATTTGATTTCTCTTCTTCTTGTCTTGCAGTCCATCAGCTCTTCATTTCAATGTCCCACTGTGGTACTCGTGGCCTCATGAGTCCCTGGAGCCCCTCTCTCCCTCCCACCCCCGTCTCCTGGTGGCACGGAGACCCAGCGACCTCGCCCCCAAGTCTTCCTCCTCCCACTGCCCGGTCCTCTCCGTGTCCTGCCGAGACTGGGACTACTCTCAGGGAGCCCAGACCGAGTGCCTCCGACTCAGTGCCGGCGTTCTAGTGACACCCGAAACCACGCCCGTCCAGGCCACACCCCAATGCATCCATCCCCGCCCAGGTCCCTTCTCCCCCACTTCGACTGCCGCAGCCAATGGCTGGGTCCCGTTTGCCGACTGCAGCATCTCTCCGAGAAGAAACGTGGTGTCTTACACAGCGGTGGTCCCCGCAGGGCAGGACCCCCGGACTGTCTATGTCGGCTGGACGACTGCGCAGTTTCGCTACGTCTCCTCCCAGTTTCAGACCAGCAGTGGAGGGTGGAGCGAGGGAGGGTGTGACGGTGTGTTTGGTCAGAGGGTGGAGTGTGTGGGGAGGTGTGAGGATGGCCCCACCTCCGGGCGAGGTTCTCGTTCCCCCAGTAATATCGTGGAGTACAGTCAATCATCTGCCTACCTGGTGTGTGTGAAGCAGCTGCTGTCCAGTTTCAATGACCAGAACCTCGCGGAGTCTGTTCGGTGAGAAGTCACTCAGGCTTTTATTGTATATCAACAAGCCGAAATTAGACCAACACCTTTGGGGCTTCAACTATTGAATTTTGAGTCTGGTTTATGAGTAAAACACCTTATCATCAAAACAGAATTATCTCCAGTACAGCCTCTATGTATATGCAAGTAGTAAGTGTACGTTACAGTATGGGAAGTTTCGTGCATTAGCGTGTTTTTCGTGTGCGTCTCAACTTGTGCAGTAACAACTCAATTAGACTCAAAATGAAAGTGTGTTAACGCATTATTATGAGTATGCACATTTTTAGCCAATGCACACACCCTTGTTGTATGTATCATTTTCGTGCTTTTCACTCTTCCTGATTGCAGGGTGGTGTGCACTCTGGACCTACTCTCTGGTCAACTGGCGTTCTCCACCGCACTCCCTGGACAGAACTCCTCCTCCCACAAGAGGACCCTCTCTGTTGAGACACGCTGCAAACTGTTCCCCACTGTCATCACCACACCATCCACTGAGAAAATCATTGACCTTGACTTCACCCCCGACCTCTGTTGCAATTCAATTGCCTCTACACTTGTCCCGACCTCCTCTGGAGCCAAACTATCCCCCTGCCCCTCTCGTTTCAGGCTAATGGCCCTCACCCCCAGTCGGTGGGTGAGGCAACCGTTCCACAGAGTTCCATTCACGTCGTCTGTCACGGCAGAAGGTGGTGTGGAGGTCCAGTCCCACAGAGAACCAAGTTACTCCGTCTTTGCAACTCTCCCCGAGGAGGACCAGGTGATGGACCTCCTGGAGCTCTCAGAGAACGAGAAACTTATCCAGTTCCACATGAGCACCCTCATGGCCTACAGTGCCGTCTCCTCCAATTGCAACGAAGCCATCGTGAGGAAGGTCGCGGCCATTCTCGACCCCGAGCAGCTTCTCCGCTGCCTCAAGTTGCGCGGGATGCACTATTCGTTGCGTGCCGCCTACACGCAGTTGTTCAACACGCTCCATCTGGATCCTGAGGTCCACACGAAGCTGGTGACCCGTGGCGAGTTTATTCTCCCTCTCTCGGCCCTCGAGAACCCCGTCCCACTGTTCCTCCCGGCCACGCAGCATGAGCTATCTCCGACTGTTGGCGTGAGGTGGGGGACGCCTGAAGTGGACGGGGCCCTCTCTCGCCAGGCCAGAGTGACGCACAACATCAAGAGTTGCTTGCCTTGTGGAGTGAGTGATGGAGCGTGCAGACTCATTTTCTCTGTGAGGCAGTTGAAGGAGATAGTGTTCTATGACCTGGAGAAACTCCTCTCCACCAGGTGAGGTCACTGAAACACAATGCTGGAGAGTAAAGTGTTGTGGCTACGCAATTGCGCATTGTGTGAATTGTGCATGGTGGCTGTTGATCACATTTTCAAGACTGCATACACAATACTGAGGTACAATACCTGTTCAGTAGTTCGTGAGCAAGCGAGACTACTTAGTCTGTATGTCCGATGGTGACGGCACTGTCACACACTGTAATGTGCTACATATGTATGTACATGTAACAATAGACCATGTGATGCCAAGAGAAAAAAGATGGGGAGCTCTGGACAGCTGTTTCGGGCTTGTTGGCCCTCATCAGCAAAGCATACCGCAACTTCTCTCTCTGGCATCACATGTAACTCTAAATGGACGAAACAGAAGAGTTTAGTCCGCTGACGCTTATGCTCGCCATAAGTACGTACGTGATGTAGTATATGGGCTCGTTACATCATCATGTGGTCAAGAGAGAGTTTTTAAGATTAAAAGTTCATATATAATAATATACATATATATTATACGTACTTATGGAATAAGTGTATTATTCCTCTCCAGGTACCACAAGGGCACTCTTCTTCCTCGACTGAGTTGTTCAGAGGTGATAGTTCCTCTGCTGACACTGCTGGACAACCTGCTGGTGGTGGGGGCACTCAGGGACCAGAGAGACCTCGGGAAACTCCTCTCTCTTCTCGATCCTCAAACATTCGCCCTAAAAGGCAGTAAGTAGGAACTTATGTTCACTGTAAGAGGTTTCGCGTTTGTTGAGTATAGACCGTACTTTTGCCTAGTAATATTATGCATGTCTCAACAACTTGGTAACGAGGTAGAAAGGCAAGTCAAGGCAAACAAGTCAACTACACACAGGACAGCTCTTATGTGCACATAGAACAACGCGAGCAGTATTTGTTGCTCACAGTGAAAGGCTCCTGTGTTTGTAAAGTCAGCTATCTCTCTCTCTCTCTCTCTCTCTCGCGTGCACGCTGAGACTATTTTCGGATTTTTTTCACTACCTCTACCTCTTTCCACCAAAAGAATGAGTATTTTCATGCCGGGATTGATGTATGAAATTTTGTGCAATGGTCGTCTTTGTATGTACGTTGTATGTACTATGATATCCCAGCTCCATACTGTGAGGGTCTACTGTCACTCCAAGTGGCTGTGGAGGAGCCCATCAAGCTGGCCCTGTGCAGTGTCCTGCAGCACCTCTGTGACTGCCTGGTCCAGCATCGTGTAGAGTCCACCGTCGCCTTTGCCGCTAGCTACGTCGACTCCCTCCGGAGAGACCAGAAGGAGAGATACGAGAAGACGTTTGTCAAGAAACCCAGAGAGTTTCGCTCTCCTCCGAAGAAACAGGTAACCACACGTGCATACAGTGACACAGCAGACACTGCCATGATCTTAGACTACGTGGAATCTATAGCAATGGGTTATCCATGTTGTCAAGCACTGCTGCCGTTACTTAAAAATTCGGGCTTTGTCTAAATCCCAAACTCTTGCTACTTAAACAGTCACCAAGGTGTGGTTGAGGTTATTTTTTGTGTAGCCATAGTAGATATGCAACTATACGTCTTGCTTTCCATAGAGGTGAGTTTGTACACACCCAACAAACCCTCCCTGAATCCACCACTGAGTGGGATCAACTGTGCATGATGGAAAACATTCCCCTATCATGTGCTCTTGGTAGGATACTGTATGAACTCTACTAATTGTATGTTGGTGTTTCGTAATGTGCAGATGGAGGGGATGTTGTCGTTCCAACTGGGCGGTGTGTCTTGCTCAGAGTGTCCAACCCCATCAGACCTGCGCCAGGCCCTGCAGGAGTTCCACAGTGACCTCAAGAGACACTGTGGTGCAGCCCACACCACCACCCTCTCCCCCGACAACATGGCTGATAAGACGTGAGTAATAGCTATTACGGACTTCTTAAAGGACCAGCTTGGTTTTTATAGTCTTGCGAATCATGTGATTTTAAGACTTGGTACCTGTACGATTTGTATATGTATCAGATCCATTCCAGGTTTTCTCTATGTCTGGGGAATAGGCTAATAGTACCCACTGTATCATGTACGTGTGATATGAATACCTTCAGTGGGGGACATACACCCCAAGATGATTGCTCCTTTATACCAGGAGATAGTTCAATAGCAAGTGCAATGATCTTGTTCTTTTTGGTGTACATAATCCTGGTACAATCACCACAAGTCGCTAATAATATGCTCATGTACACATACATATACACACTGTAGTCTGAGGGAGAAGCTGAAGGCCCTGGCAGTGTTGGTCCACAAGGCTCTCTTCTCCTCCGAGCAGACCGGGAGGCCAGGGAGGGGGTGAAGGGAGAGAAGGAGTGTGGGCTGCAGAGGATGGTGATGTCCACCATGATCCTCTGGGCCCAGCAACCCATCCACTCCCCTGAGCTCATCCAGCAGATATTCTCTCTCCTCTACCGTCAGTGTGATGAGATCAATGAAGTGGTAATACTCTCTCTAGCTGCTAATGCTGTATTTACGTAGCTGCTAACAGAAGGTCATCGGTAAAGACCAGCACAGCTCACCTCCACAAACACATGTTATAGTGTCAATACACGTTTAGTAGTCTACAGTTTAAAGAGGCCACCATTTCTAAGTCATTCTTGTGTTCAGTGTGCCCCACATCGCACACATGCCCATGTAATATGAATCTTGACGTATGTGATAGGCTATGATATGTAAGGTGATTTATATCTGTCAGGCCACTTAGTGATATAATGTACATGTTCAATGTCTCAGGTACAAGCTCTACAGAAGACGTATGTGATAGACCTGACAGAGAGTCCTGGAGTGAGGATGAACTTTAACCTCCCGGGGTTCAGAAGGGCGCTGGGGTGCCTGAGACTCCTGCTCAAGGTTGGGATGGGCAGAGAGGAGGAGCAGAGCCTCAAGAATAGCCTCAGGTCTGCCTCTGTGACTTAGCGCACATGTGCTGCGGGGGTTACTGCAGTGTCTTTGTGTGTGCATCTGTCAGTGTGTCCCCTGCTCGACTTGTAGCAGCAACACCATCTGTTTCTCTGTGTAACCCAAGGTGCATGTGTACAAGCTCTTCTCTTCGACTTCAATTTTTAGTGCCCTGTTCATGAGTTATTGTATGAAAAGCGAACGTGCTAAGTACGTACTTACCACAAACGGCTTTTGCCCACATTCAAAATCTCAGAATTGTCAGTTGTTACACCAGAACGACAAGCGGTAATTAGATTGTTACACCTACGGAGTAGCTACTATGGCGGAGAGCCGGCAAATAGCAGGAAAGGCTGGCCATTTTTATCAAAGCTAAGTACTGCATGGCAATATACAACTCTCGGCATGCATGCCTTGCAAGGGTTCAAGTCCTGTCTCTTTGTCTGGCAGTTACCACTGGCACTACACTGACTTATTTTAGTAAATGTTCACTGTGTTAAAAAAATTAATGATGGTGTGAAAACCAAGGCAACAGGCCAGTAGTTTAATGAGCACCTCGACCAGGTTCTGTGTTCTGTGTGATGGCAGAGCAAGGCAGCAAAAACATGCTATAATTATCTTGTGAAAACAAGGCAGTGAATGACGAGAAACCAACAAGTGGATGCAAACAACTGCTAAAATTAGCACTGCAATATGGGCTGTGATGTGTGTATGATGTTCATGTGTCTCAACCTGTACAGGACCATCAGTCACAGCGGGCTGTTCTACTGCCATCCTCAGTTGTTGAGGTCACTGGGGGTTCACCTCACGGTGCTAGGTCTCATGAGGTCCTATCTGGGGATCAGAGTGGCCGGGCTGGAGGATGACAGCTTCCTCACTGCCAGACGCAAGATGAAGATGGCCATGAACAAGGTGGGCGTTTGCCGACCCATGAATACGTCATGTTAACTGCATCCTTGTTTCTGTCACCAAAGTTCATGCATATTTTGTGCTTGGTAGTGTCACCTGATAGTTAGCTACGTATCAAATCCACAAGAACTACTATGATATGTCACCACTATCCAGGAGGGTCTACCGGCGCCCGGTGGAGTGGTGCTGCAAGTTCCTGAGTGCTTTTGCTCGTGTCAGCTCAGACAACCAGAGAGCTCTCTTCAGCCACATCAGCTACCTCCTTGAGTACTCTGAGAATAATCCAGGTGCATAATGTGGGAGTTCATCCACTGTACTGCGTTTTCCTGTGCGGTGATGATTTGTTTAGCCTTTGAATTTACCTTTGAACCCCCACTATTGATGCATTTACCTACATATAAACCCTCGGCATGCGTGTGCTGCATGGGGTACAAAAAGATATTGTGTGTATGTGTGTCTGTCTATTGGTGTGTTTTTTGGCTGTTGACACTATTCTGGCACTACAGGCTACGAGGTGCCTAAAGAGTAATACCATCGGTATCTGTACTATGTATGTAAAGTCAAACCACAGTGTTTGAGCGTAAGAGAACGAGTGAAAAACAGTGGCCTGCTACCTTGACTGGTGGTGCCCATTCCACACACTGCGGAGCTGCGGAGCACGCATGTTACTCAAAGGAATAGTATCCAGTCCATCATTACGCAACACGGTCCTTATTGATGCTGCCAGCCCCTGAAAAATTGACATCGTAAAACGGCCAGCCCACCAATTATGGGTGCTTTTTCTGCGATAGCAATCGAAGGCCGCAATGCTCCCAGCGTTGCCTTCATACCGAGTGTTTTTGCTTTTCATTTCATCTTTTGTCACCCCAGTCTGCTTCTACATGTTAAGTGATGAGTTCATGTGCTACCACAGAGTTTTCGATTTGCCTTTGCCTTGTGTTGTATTTTAATATACCTTGCATGTAGCTATAGAACGCTTCTGAAGGTCATGGGTTTCCAGGGCACCTATGTAGTTGTCACTTGCCTTGTGTTACAACATGCATTTTGTTACCAACGCAGGTTGTATGACATGTCGAGGGTGCACACCACTGGATGTTGCCACAGCAACCATACGGGACAATGCTGAGCTGTGCCTTGCTCTAGATGATGCCCACCTCCACCATGTTGTGTCTCTCCTGGTCTCCACGACTACCAGTGTGGCAGTGGGTGGAGGGTCATTGGAGCAGGGAGGAGGGGAGGATGGGAGGGAGGGATCGGTGGGGAGTGTGGCTTGTGACTGGGCTCCCAATGGCGGCGAAAAGTGCCTGGACTTCCTACAATGTGCCGTCTGGGCTGATGGTACGTATGTACGTAGTAGTCAGTGTGTGTATACAATTTCCCTGCATCCACAAAAATGTCTCACATTAACGAAATCCTGGAATCGAACTCAACACATACGTATTTGTCGAAGAGAGCTGTTGCATTTTTTTGCATGTATTTTTGCGCGTATTTAGAATCACGTATAAGATGCAGTGTGGGTCACAACATATATATTTATAATAATCTCTTCATTCTCAGCCATACATTTTGTGCGTAGCCGTTAACTATCTCTTAGGTTGAGTTTGGCACCGACCTGTTATGAATGTCCCCTCTGCCACTCCCAGGAGAGCAGATCCAGGAGAATGCCTATGCCATAGTGAGACTCCTCATCCATCACCCCGAGTCCCTCGGACCAGCGCTCGCTGGGGAAGCCATAGGACTCCACCGGGTGTACGAAGACGTCCTCGACCACATGTTGGACACTCCGCAGTACGGGAGCTCCCGGGCCAGCCCCCGTGACTCTTCTGACCTCGGCTCTGCCCTCCCTCTCAGGGGAAGTCCCGATTCCCCTCCCAGCGACTCCCACGCCTCCCCTGCAACACAGGTCTTCCTCCTTCCTCAACCTCAACCTCATGAACACCCAACTGGTGCTGTCTTTCTACACGAGTCTGGTTCGTTTACTGGCTTGCTGTGCCCCAGTGGATGAAGACTCGGCAGTCAGCGAGACCAGTGAGACAACTGCTACCAGACCCACTAATGGTCTTGTTAGCCGAACCACTAGTAGTGATCAAAGTAGCACAAAAAGTGAGGCTGGTAAGGCTTGTGGTGGTGTTGACGTGAAGAAAAGCTGTGCAGAGCGTACTCGAAACATTCTGAGAAATCTAATTTCCGTGGATGATGCAAGGGGCATACTCTCTCTCCCGTATGCCAAGGATGGTGCGCAGGGGATTATCCCAACCCACAAGGAAGCAGCTCTTCTCTTCCTGTCTCGTGTGTATGGTGTGACTGAGCCTCAGCTCTTTCGAGAGCTCCTAGCTGATGCCTTCCTGCCTGATATCAAAACTGCTCTCAAACTTGCCTCGGTAAGTATTAAGCGTATATTTTTGTACACGTGTAGTATTTAGAATAGTCACGCTTTTATTTTTATATGTACGTGTGCATAGACGTATTTTTGCTCTTATTCATGTACCTGGTACCCACCAACTGATTGTGAAACTATTTATTGTGTTACGGGCACGTAGTAGTACGTAATGGTAATCTTTTATCATTTTCATCCACAGAGCCAGGAGCAGTCTCCCCTAACCAGTCCCCTCCTTCACTACTTGTGTTCCTCAGTGTTCCCTCTCCTGACCTCCTGTGCAGCCATGCTACCCCAGCTCCTCGCCCACCTCCACATCATCATCAACCTCCTCATGTGCTGCTGCAGACTAGGCACCACCTGCCAGCTCACTGCCAAGCAGCTGAGCAACCTCACTGCCTTCCTCACCGAGGCATACAGGTTTGTTCTACACTCACACACTCATAGTATAGCGGGGTATCTGTAAGTGTGTTGAGCCTTTGTTACAAGTACAAACATCGACCTGCAACATACATACATACTGTACTACATGCACACACGCACGCGCGCACACACACACACCACACACACACACACTTTGTTTAGATAAAAAAGGAGCAGTTCACACTATGGCCATGGACCATGCACCCAGTATTAAGCCTTGTAGTGAACAATTCCTCCCACTGCTCACGTACCCTTGCTCTGTACATGCAGGTGTCTTCACCCGGTGGCCATCCAAAAGCTCCTGCCCAAAGTGATTGCTGACATTCCCAGCATGCAGCCCCATACCATCATGTACATGGAGGTAAACTGTAGAGAATATTGAACCATGCAGTACATCTCAGTCACAGGGTCGTTACAAATCACTCTATAACCTGACTAGCACACAGAACTACCAATAAAATTAGTTCATTCTGTACTTTCGTGACCTTCATTTAAGTAAACCCTATGAAGAAGAACCATGTTTACATAGCTTGTACATGTATGTACGTATCAACCGTTGATTGATATATGCAGTTGCTGGGCTCTCATTTCTCCCACTATGCCCGCTACTATGAGAGTGGCCAGAGGTCGTTGGGACAGGCCTCAGAGGAGGAGAAGGTGTTGTCTGCAATGGTCGTGTACCATCTCCTAGACACCCTGGCCACCTCCCTGCCCCCTGACAGACTCGAGAGGAGCTGTGGAATATGTCTGCAGGCCGTGAGCTGTGCCATAGCCCCAGGCACTCTCCTGCCCTCCCAGTGTCAGCTGGGCTCACTCTACCAGTCCTCAGCCATGGGGTACGACCCACGGCCAGCCTGCATCGAGAGAGTCACCGTTTTGAAGCCAGAGGTGAAGCAGTTTGTCCAGGACTATGCCAATGTGCTCCATGATGTCTGGATATTTGAACAGGTATATATGTACACATGCTACTCCGCACATACGAATGCCTATATACATATAGCACTCATAATGTTAGTAACTTGATCATTGAAACAAGCATAATATTTTAATGCTCTGCAGCAAGCTCTAGGGTGGACCTATGGCTCTGACTACTGTGAGAAAACACACGAGGATCCCAACCTTAAACCCCTCAAAACTCTACCTCCCAAGGTACAAATTAGTCAGCAAGCAATCTTGTAGTATGTTTTATCATCAGGTGTATCTTCTGCATTGGTGGCTACTGCACTTGCGTACATGAACCACTGTGATTTTTAACCCTTGGGCGAATTTTGTTAAAATACTGCGTTCCAGAGGTATGGCGTGAAAACCAAGTGAACAAGCCAATATGCTAATTAGCACAGGCTTACCTCGACCGGGTCTGCTTGCTCTGTGTATCTTGAAGGTCGTGTATCGACTCCCGCATGGTATCTACTACTGTAGCTAGCCCGTGTCAGACTCTCCGCGAGCTACTAGCGGGAGACCACGAGTAAATGCATACTAAAAGCCCGGCCCACCAATTAGCGGTACCGCGCATGTGCAGTTTGCCAACGGTGAGGGTTTGCACTCTAGTGCTTTTCATTTGTTAGGTAAAAGAAGAGTACACACGGCCTATTGAAGAGGCAGTCAAGTACCTAATCGTCAGGGGCTGGTGTGTGAGTAAAGTCAGAGCGGCTGACTTTAGTGGGGTCCCCACGAGGCCCAAGACCATATGTCTCAGGAGGAGGAAGAGGAAGGACGGGACGGAGGACGTTCCGTATGAACCCGAGGTGCTGGACTTGTCTAAAGTGAGCACGCCAGTGGAGATACTAGCAATGGCTGAAATGATGGCAGAGGAGGCTCACGACAGATGGGCCAGCCAGCTTAAGAAAACCTCTGGTACATACAGTTTTAGAACATCTATAATGAGGTATACGTACATACGTACATATTACATGTAGGAATCACTCAGTGTGCATTGCCAGTCCCTGGGCGCTCACACATCCATTTTAGCAATGTGCACATATTCAGCTACGTTTGTGCACCACTTGTATGTATGTATGTAAGCTGTTTTTGCCACTCATCTGTATGCATGTTGCACCCCCAGATGACTACCAGTCCCACCCATTCTACCAGCCATACGAGCTGGTTGATGACGTGGTCAAGGAAGAGAGGAGGTCCTATGCCCTGGACATGTTGCGCTACCTCCGTCTCTGTGGATGTGAGCTTATCAGGACCGGGAAGACTGCTGCCAGTCTGGCCCAAGTAAGATAACCTTTGTGTAAACTTCTAGACATTGGCACTATCTCCCCTGTGTTGTGTTTCCCCCTGTAGTCCAGACAGAGCAGTGTGTGTCAGGAGAGGTTTTCTCTGCAACTGTTTGACAAGTTCATCCGTCTACTCTCTGACAGTAAGAGAGAGACCCGTGATATATACTCAGAATGCTAGCCCATTACGTTTTTCCAAATGGCTAATAGACATAGTTCCTTCCTCCATAGAAAACTCAGGCGGTGTCGATACTCCATTTTCGTTGGTTTTCTGCTGGGCTTGAGTCCTGGAAACCTTAAGGGGATGTGACAGTATATAAGGGCTAAATTTAGAAATGTTACTAAAAACAGAACTCAATTGCATTCTTTCACTGTGCCCCTATTGTTTTGTTCTATCATTTAGCCCATATATACTGCCACATTCCCTCTAATTTCCACTTCTATGGTGGTCAAGAAAGTCCTCTGGGCATGATCTGACTGTTGTTGTTGCTCCTTCCACTGTAGACCGAGACCCAGTCTACTACAGTCGAGTCCTGTTCCCAACACTGGCCAGTTATCTCGACCACAACAGAAAGTATTTCATTCCCCTGACGGGTCAAAGGTCGGCTAATTCAGCCAGCAGAGAGGAAAAACTTATCATTCTCAGGTATGTAAGTATGTTTGTACGTGTGGCACCAACACTTAGATAATGTACAAAGTCTGTATATTGTGTATTTACTGTAGTGGGAAGCGAATTCATAACCAACTGTTTCGAAATTAATGTCTTGTGTAGAGCAATATATTAACTACTAGTATTGGATCCCTCTACAGGCTGTTCTGTCAAGTGATGGACTATGCCCACACCCACAAGTTCAACATCTTCTCCAGCATCCACAGACGAAGCAGCAGGTCCCTCTCAACCCTGGGCCGCAGGGCGACTCTCGACAAAGCCCAGCCGCTGCCCGATGCCTCAGCCTCAGAGGAGAAGGGTTCCCTGTTCCGTGAGATTCACCACCTCATTGAGTCCATAGTGAGGTCACTGGATGTACCGGCCATTACATTGGGGTGTGGGAGTCTGGCAGAGCAGTGCCCCGGCATACTCACCTTCTTCAAGCAGGCTCTGGAGACCGTGACCACTGCCAAGAGAGAAATGTCGCAGAATAAACAGTTGAAGAACTCTCACATCCAGTCCTACACCCTCTCCCTCCTCATCCCAGCTCTGACAGTGTTGTTTAACCACGTGGGCTACCGAGGCACGAGTCGGTTCTTGATCCAGGGCCAGGTGCTGGTCCACTGCAGACTCATCTTCCAGAATCTGGTGGAAATGGCCACCGGAGTCACTCCCATCTTTGTTGGAACGTAAGCACTTGCTGGCCTCGAGGTTATCTTAGTCAATGTTAGTGCTGTACCAGTAGTTACATACTATATGCGTACTATAGACCTAAAATGTGCTGAAGTGGACCAAAATGAACTCATTACTCTCCTGCAGTAAAGTTACTGTAGTTACTGTACCATGTATCGTCATTAGTTTCCCACAGTGCTATATACTCAAAACCTTTTCAAATTTTATCATGTTTCTTTTTGCTCAATTTTTAGATCCCCAATTGTTGTAATTGGTCGTTGTCTGGGGGCGTTCTCACGGGCCTATCCCGACCCCTTCCTTGAGAAGCGGTTGTTTGGTTTTGACCTGGAGTCTTTGCTGAGTCAGTTGGACGTGGCCTCCACTCAGGGTTCCACAGCCGGCAATGTTCTCTATGTCGTCGATATTGTCATCCCCGTCCTCTCAAAGTTAGACCTCGTTTTTGAATTAGAATATAGTCTCAGTGATATGTTTTTTCCACAGCTACATTGCCAAGTGGTACAGTGGAAATTCCCTGTAAGTTACGTACGAATGCTGAGCAGTTTGTGTTATATCGAAACCTGCTTGCCTAACGCAATTTGAGCCAGAGTGTACTGTGCCATAGAACTGTGTTTGAGGTTTTCCTTTGTGTTGTGTTGTAGATCTGCTGAGTTGTCCTGGTAGCTCACCTGGTAGAGCACCCACCAACACCCCATTCACATGGTCCCCTGGGTTCGATGCGGAATGCTCCGTTCACATGACCACCATTAGTGGGTTGAACCCTGGTTAAATGGGGGGGGTTCGACCCACCAATCGGGGTTGACCCAGTTTCACAAGTACAGTGCTTATTACTTAACATCTACAGACATGTGGCATGTGAACAGAAACAGTGTTGAACCCGGGTTTACCCCCGGGGTAGTCAACCCGGGGTAAGTGCCATGTGAAACGGGGGTTACATGTTGATGATGTGAGAATTGCGTTACCAGTGTGGAATTTTTTCTGCTACTCATATAGTGACAGCAGCAACCAAGAGAAAGTTGACTACACACTCTCTCAGATCTTGGCTCTCGTCACCACTCACTTCGCAGTACAACTGACTGGGTGCTGCTGGTTTGTACGGATAATTGGTCAGTTCCTAATGTCTCTCTCCTCCCTGTTTCGACCTTTCCTCATTTCCCTGTTGGTCTCCCTCCTCCTCCATGTCCCTCCACAGACAGTTCCCTGGCTCTGGCTCAGAAGTGTTCCTCCAAACTCCTCTCCACACACCTGCTGCCCATGTGTGAGAGACTGAGGGAGAGGGCTGTGGCTCTGTGGCAGACCGAGCAGCTCATCACCTCACACATTGCCACCGGGTCCTCCTCCTCTTGCAGTTCTGGTGTGGAGACATACACCGAAGAGTTGGTTGGGGTAAGAACAAGCCGTACATACATTTTACTGTACAGTGGGAAACATGCATGAAACGAGATTTTGTGGAACATGTCCTACATACATAATATGACAGGACTATAAGAAGCTGGTGAGGGACCTGGCCACCACTCTGCTGTTCCTGGTGGTGTTCCTCAAGTCGCACTCAGAGGAGCTCCGGGAGGCGGAGGGGAGAAGAAGGGAGGAGGGCGGCTAGACCTCGTGAGGGAGGATGTGTCTGGAGATGTGAATGCTCTCTTTGTTGCACTGGCCGATATCTTTCACTGCTGGTTCTCATCTCCTGTGAGTGTATACGTACCCTGTGAGGCAAAATGCTTTAGAAAATGTAAAACACTCTGTAGTATGCATCACATTAACTTTGGAAATACTATGTACCACATCATGTGTTGTTTATAAACTTTGACTTGCTTACATTTACTGGTGAGCGAAGTGAGCCTACCTAGATGTTTCAATGTGGAAAAGTTTCTACATGACGGGCACTTCGCGGGCACTGCACTGTTATACATGATTCACTCGCTCGCCAAAAATGGTTCTAGTTATTAGCCATTTACACGTGTGTAGCCTCAGTTTGTCATGTGGCTGAGTAAAATGTGCACCACAGAGCCTGCGTATGATCTGCAAATTGACTGCCCTCCAAGAGCCTACACTAACCTCAACTCTAATAACTATTGTCGACACGGCACAGTACAATACAGGCCAATGCTACGTATTGTGAACCCAGCCTAAGTCCCCCCACTCCCTTGTATTTTGACCCACACGCAGCACTTTAGGAGAGTGTTTCTGGTCGGGACTCAGTGGCTGGCCCAGAACCCCATTCTGAAGTGCTGTTTCAACAACCTCTACCCCAAGAAAGAGAACCAGACCACCTGCAACTACAACCTCATCACTAGTTCACTTGGTCTTCTCCTGCCCATCATGGACCAGTTCATGACCCGTGGAGACAGAGACCTGGTTGAGAGATACACAGAAAAACTTTCTGAGGCAAGCTGAACTATTGTTCAGGATATAGATATGGTTTTTCTTTGGTTGCTTTGCCTATGGCTTTGCTTATTGACATTCCTTATACTTTTGGATTTGGGTGTCTTTGGTAGCTCTTGTAGCATTTATTGACACATTGTTTACTGACAGTCTGTTATTAGTGTTATCATAAGCCCCCCATCATTTTAATTGCTGTAGCTATGTATGTCATTAACATCTTAAAATGTATTTTGTGTTAGAGTATGAACCTCATGTAGATTGATTGCAGAAAGGAGCGTGTCATGTGGCCATGAAGACTGAACTGGTCGAGCTGCTGCAGATGCAGGAACAAGTGAGCAGCAAATCTCACAACCACTTTGTGTGCGAATGTATTATTAATCTTCCAGGCACGGTCTCGTGAACACTTGGGCCACAAGCTGGTGAGGAGCATCTCCCGAACGTTCGTTGTTCCTCAGAACAGCTCTGCAGAGGAGAGGGCGGAACATATTGTGGGTCTTGCCAGAGTCAGACGCCGCATGAAGCTGGTCAGTCACTACTGCTGCCATGATTGATCACTCTAGGTTATTATAATAATATTGCTGTCTTATCTCTTGTGAAGGTTGATAATCCAGAGGGTGAAGGAGCGAGATCAAAGTGGAAGCAATTCTTCACCAGGAGGAAGAGGAAAGCTGTCCTTGCCTGTTTCCTGGCCGTGCCTTACTTTGATATCAGCAAGTGAGCAGTCAAATAGTGACTACTGAATTTTTCCGAACACATACTTGTACCTTATTGGTGTTGACATGGTGGGTAAGTAGTACAATAGGAAAACTCAAGTTTGGGTCTCTCACATAAAAATGGCATTTTGTGTTACATTGCATTTCCAATACATCTCCACTGTTACAGTTGAAATATACAGGCAAACTAATGGTGTGCTCTATTCTAGACACAGGGCAATAAACCTGTTCCTGGAGACATATAGCCAGCAGTGGCTGGAGTCCAGTGAAGACCACACCTCCTCGGCTCTCGGGCATGAGCTCCTGGACCACCAGGACTACCTGGTGACCCACAAGACGGCCTCCCTCCCTCCCCACCACAGAGATCCCCTCACCCAGCTCTTTACCATGATCAAGAGGAAGGCCACCACTGGAGAATGGTTAGCACACTTGCCCTATAATTTGTACAACTCAAAAGTGTGCTGTTTTTTGTCATTTCCTTCCAGCCTGGACCATGAGTTGTTCATTGCCTATCCTAATGTGCTCAGCAAGGTATGTATAATAACCTGTATGCGCTCTTCATGTGTTAATTTGTGGTGTTGTCAGATTATCACTGGAGTCAGGAATGATGAAAGAATTACTGGGGAAGAAAACGTTACAGTTGCCTATCAGGTATTCATGCAGAGCATGTGCATGTTGAAACCACACTGTTGTGCATATTATATGGTACAGTATCAGATTACCTCTTCCAATGACTTGTTCCGTGTTTAGAGCTACTACAAGAGGCGTACAGAGTTGTATGCGAGACAGAATCAGCTGGCCAGGAGAGGAGCTGCCTCCACTGTCCTCCTTGTTATCACTGCAAGTCGAGGTGACTCCTTGCCTCCTGTATATGTAGTCACCGTGGATAGCAAGCATAAACCGATTTATTGCTGGAGGGAAATCATCCCCCTATAGATGTTGCCAGTAGCAGTACTCGTACTATTTGGGGGTCAAAGTGTCCCCTGGGAAGCATATTCCAAGGGAGAATAGATGGACTATGTCCCCCTGGTGCCAGCCGTACTGAGTGAAGGTGTCACTATCTTCCTCTCCCCCACTCTCCTCCACACAGGTAGCAACTCGGACGTCATTCACTCCATTCTGAGACTGGGGATAGCTCTGCTGGAGGAGGGGAACCATCTGGTCCAAGAAGAGATGCTGGCCCAGTTGCAAGCCATGGACGTCGGTTTCCTCTCCAGTGTAGCCCGCCTCGTGGCTAGCTGCTCTGTTCTTGACTGGAATGCCTACCAGAGGTACCAAAGGACCGAGGTGATGCAGTCCACTTCTTGCCTAGGTCAGTTTGCTATTTCTGTGTGGTAGCTCTCTATAACCTGTATGTGTTCACTGTGCATAAGGCAACTCATCCGCTATGGTTGTAAGCATACTACAGCATGAGTGTTGTGAGCATGAAGCATCAGTTACGTATGTCACCTGGGTTGTCGTTCTTAGCAAAGCTGGCTCAGAGGTCAACTGTATACTCACTCTCCTGTTAAAACACTGAAGTACTGACATCATGGCTTGGAGGCCGAGCTTAGAAACATTGGTTAGCAAGATGGCGTTAAATTGAAAGAACGACACTCTGCACTTGTAGGTTTGCTACAGCTCATGGAAACTATGATACAGTCACGTCACAGCCATGTTGTATACATCTTATCGCTACGTATCAAATTAATTGGATGATTATGTGGATGTGTCATATGTCGGACTAATGTTCAACATGGCCCAGGTAATTGCCTGGAGTTAGAGTATACTTACGACTGTTGCAGCCGCGTCCAACTGAGTGGGATAACTAACTCCTTTTCGCTAATGTCCACTCGTGTTCTGTCCTTGGAGGGATAACCGTCTTGTGGTAATTGCCACACCATACTTCTAATTAACCCTCGGCGCGCATGCGCAGCGAGGGTTACGGTAGTCGTTCTGTGTGTCTGTCTGTCTGTTTGTGTGTCTGTTACCACGTTTTCTGCCACCACGCGCAACAAACCGGCCAAAAAGCGACACCAACGGGTTCAGCGCTACACTGGCTTCGTTTTAAAATGGCGATTTTCGTAAAAATACTGCGTTCTAAAGTTATGGCGTGAAAAGCAAGCGAACAAGCCAATATGCTAATTAGCACAGGCTTACATACCTCGACCGGGTCCGCTTGCTCTGTGTATCTTGAAGGCACATGAAGTCACAACGAAGGGCGTGTATCGACTCCCGCATGCTATCTACTACTGTAGTTACCCCGTGTCAGACTCTCCGTCCGTGTCAGACTCTCCGTGAGCTACTAGCGGGAGACCACGAATAAACGCATACTACAAATAGCCATCAATTAGTGGTACCGAGCGTGCACAGTTCGCCGAGGGTTTGCACTTAGTGCTTTTCATTTGAGTGAAGTAATTGTGATACCGGTTGTGCTTCACCGCTGCTGATGGTGTTTGTCATGCTTTCCTGGTTGGTTGAGGTGACAGACAAGGATGGAGGTATCAGCAGATGATGATGGTGGATTGGCTGCTTGCTTAGGGTTTAATATTGATGGAAATCTGGGGAGACAGTGATACAGGGGCCTTGGACTTGGTAATGGTGTAGGCGGCAGGGGTGAGAGCAGCTGGTTGTGTGGGAGGTTGAGACTGGAAGTTCTGGGAGGGAGGGGAAAGTGGGGAGCTCGGGAAGTGTTGTACATGGTACATGAGGGGGTTGGTAGCAGAGAGTTTGTCACATTGAGGAGATGAGGAGCTGCTGATAACAAGAGCTTTGTCAGATTTGGGTACAAGGTTACTCCCATTCTATGACATAATACAGGTGCGGGGGGATTTCCTTCTATCTTCCCCTTAGTTGCAGCGGGCAGCATTGGAGACAAAGAAACTGAGACTGTTTGGCTGTGTGTTGCGTGGGTCTAACACATTGGATATGCGACCAACAGTAGCGTTCTATGGTAGATTTCCTACAAGTATTGCCCCACAGGTACACTTGACCTGGCCCGGTTAATTTCCACTGGAAGAATACCACTGACAGGGTTAGGTAATCAACAGGACTTTACTATTGGCCGACTAGAACTTTGTTGCTTTTCTTTTCCTGGGTGAGGTGGGTCGGGTTGTCTTACGACTTCGACATCAGCACGGCTGGATCTTATCCACTGAAACAGATGTCAAAGGTGTAATGGCCTTTTTGGAAGTTCTGGAAGAATACACATCTACAGTGGAGAAACTCATGGTCCTGAATATTTCGATGCTACTGTTTCCGAGAAAGACATGATCGTATACATCAGTCGTGATTAATCAAAGACTTGGGTCATATTGATAGTCTTGTAAATCTGTTTCAGATATCTTGTGCAGTGTAATAAGAAAGTTCTTTGCACAAGCCACAAGAAGTGAAAATTCCTCCTGTTGGCATCAGTACTGTATGTACTGAAGGTCATAGTAACACCATGAGGAGGTATGAAGGAGAGTGGTTGTTTGTATGAAGAAATGTGTGCGTAAAGACATTCCTGAACGCGTGATGCAAGTTTAGAGTATGCGCATGAACAACCCAGCAAGATGTCAAAAACGAAAGGTTGATCAGGTTATGAAACCCTTTGTTTCGTTGTTTGTTTGAGCTACTGTACTTACGATCTGGAGGATGACGGTTTGCTTGCTCTGACTGCATAGCAACACAGGAAAACTCCAACACAGCAATTGTGGCCAGCAGATGCTATACCCAACGTATTTTCATTGAAATTTGCAGCACACAAGGAGCTCGCAGCATCATAATTAAACGTCTGGAGCTGATCATCACAATGACGATTGTGCTCTACTGAAAATGACCAAGTTCTACTCAGCTAGTGTGAAAGTCGCAGCTGCTAACATCAGTCGAGATGCTGCATCTTCCCACATCGATTGCATATTCCGACATTGGATGAGGCTTCTGAAACTTTTCCCGACCTGGTGTAGCAACCTTAAAGTATTTTACTCGCATACCTGAAACACCACTCTATTTGCTCTCTGCCACTTGCTCCTCTGGGATTGTGCCTTCAACTACGTACGCCAATGATGTCAATGTCACTCACTCAGAATCCACCTTTCGGGACAGATAGATACTTTTCCCCCTCCTGTGTACATACAAGCAAGCCACACAGTAGCCATTCAGCAGCCCAGTGTAGTCTTGCCATGTCACAATCTTTATACAACCAGTGGCATTACAATTCAATAATCCTGCTGCATTAGTCCTTTCTTCACCTCTGTCTCTTCTTCTGCAACAATTTTACTCAGGCAACGACGATATCTCTTCGATTGTCACCAGATTCTCGCGACTGCAAACAAACATACTTTCAGCAATTTCAAACTTTTTGGGAGAATGATGAATGTTTGTAAATTTCTTTCAACAACTTCAAGGCCTGTGAAGTATTTCCCTTACTTTAGTATTTCCCTTACTTTACTTGACAAAACCAAAGACTCCTTCTTCTGGCAAACATCATACAACTCTTCCTACATTTTTGAAAAACGAAAAAGCACTGAAGTGGAAACCCTCGGCGAACTGCGCGTGCACGCTACCACTAATTGATGGGTGTTGCTATTAGTATGCGTTTAGTCGTGGTCTCCCGCTAATAGATCGCGGAGAGCCTGACACGGGCTGCTACAGCGGTAGATAGCATGCGGGAGTCGATACACGCCCTTTGTTGTGACTTCTTGTGCCTTCAAGATACACAGAGCAAGCGGATTGACTGACAGACTGACAGACACACACCACAGTTACAGTAATTAACCCTCGCTGCGCATGTGCGCCGAGGGTTAAAAACAAAGCAAGCTGTACTTCTTCCATCTGACAGCTTACCATCATACCTCTTCTGGCTCTATACCTCATAGGAGATATGGCTGTAATCACCCCATGGACTTTGCAGGTTTCGAAACTCTCATATCACTGACATCAAATTCTTCCTCAGCTGCTTGCTTCATGCTCTCCTTACTTGCAACTATGCTCTCCACTATTCTGTCAGCTTGTAGCTCTCATCTTCTGCGAGGAAAGAGCATACCAAAGGCTTTATGTACCCATGTGCTCTCATCTCACTTGTCACCTATGTACATACAAAACTACCACCAGCTGTTACCTATAGGTTAAATGGGTTTCCTTCTTAAATATTGGATTTCCAGTTGCAAGAGTTTGACTTGAGCACACATAAGAGTGCAGTGCATGACATGATGGTTACCTATCCGATGCCTATTTACAGTACATATGCCATGAAATGTACGCAGAAATATTGCGATACTGCCTCAACAAGTGTTATGGTTTATCAACCTGTTGCATCATATGTTTTGAGGTGAAATTTTCTAGCAGTTGTGAATGAAATATGTATGGGGCTATAACTATTTGTATGTTTTATGTATAACAACCCTGTATTTATTGTCTATCTTTCAGCCATGTCAAAGGTTTTGTGTGGGTCTGAAGTCACAGAGGATCTCTTCCGCTTCCTTCAACTCCTCTGCGAGGGTCATAATGCAGGTGAGTGTTAAACCGTGCACATTATGTGTCAACATGACAGTCACACAAACAACAAGTAACACTGTCGTCCATTCTACCACATCATGTGCCAGTCACAATTGCATAACAAGTTATAATGTGGTCCATCTACCACTGGTCACAGACTTCCAGAATTACCTGAGGACACAGGCTGGGAACACAACAACAGTCAACATCATCACCTGCACTGTGGACTACCTCCTGAGGCTCCAGGAGTCTGTCTCCGACTTCTACTGGCACTACTCTGGCCAGGAGACCATCGACCTCCTCGGGCGAGACAGTCTCCTGAGGGCTTTCAGGGTCGCCAAACAAGTCTTTAGGACCCTCACTGAGTACATACAGGTAACAGCCTGTTTGCAGTTGGTGTTATAGCCCTGCACGTTATAAATATGGTCACTCATGTCCAAAGAAGCCACCCAGAATTCAGCCACTTTTTCTCTAGCATGACTTATTGACAACTAGATTTTAACAAAGAGCAGCATTTCCATTCGTATAGTTGCATTATGCATAGATATACCCTATCACGCTATACGTATGTTATAATTGCACTTAATCCTAATACACAGGGGCCGTGTGTCCCGAACCAAGAGACCCTGGCTAGGAGCAGGCTCCTGGATGCAGTGTCAGGGTTTCTGCAGGTGTTTGCTGTCCTCCAGAGAAAGCTCTACAGAGACACCAGTCAGGTGGAGCTCCTCAGAGAACTGCTGGGGCTCCAGGAGGAGATGTTTATACTGCTTCTCAGCATGCTGGAAGGTTTGCCGTGTGTAGTATAGACAAAATGGTTACCTTTGTAGCTAGTAGTAGTAACCTACGTACATGTTCAGTACACACTGAAATGTAATGTGTCCATGTGTCGCCTATACGCTCGAATCACTGCCAGGATGTGCTTATTTTGTAGACTCAGGATTTAAATGTGTATTCTAGACCGGCACCTAATAACAAACTACACTAACAGATCTGCGCATCATTTGAACAGTAGTAAATATGACAGGTAGTTGATTTCCTTTTAGCCACTTTCTTTGCTTTACATTAGACTGTATCCACGCAATGCACAGAGCGTAGCCCCCCACCCATTTTGCAACATCCGCGGCATTCTTCAAAACTTGGCGCATATTTCCATCTGCATTACCCAGAACCTAAGTCAGACCTGTGTTTATTTTGGAAGGTTGTTTTTTTAACGGTACGAGTATGTTTATTTGCAGGAAGTGCTATGTCGAGTCAGCTTGGCCGACTGATGGTGGACATGTTAGTGGAGAGTGAGCAGTGGGTCCAGGATATCATGGCCTTCTTCTCCATCTTCATCAAACTCAAGGACTCTACCACCTCAAAGGCATTCAAGGTGGGTATGCAGTACTGTGGTGTTGGGAAGGGAAACAATTAGTAAATACTAGGTCAAGAGAGTTTATATGTGGTGTAGGGGTGAAGTAATAGGTCTCAGTGTATGCGTTAGACTTGTGCTCTGGTGTGCAGCTATTGTGCTACCATCGCATGATACACTGAAGATAGTCTGTCAGTGTTTGGTTGGCGAGTGAACTGTATACAGCTACATAGCTCAGTGCTGGGCAAGGATTTAGGCGTTGCTGGACCTGTTTCCTTCCATCAGCAGGATATTTGAAGTAACGTCCATTGCCAGCAAGAAGCTGCCTTATATGAAATGCCATGGCAATGAAAAGCACTGAAGTGCAAACCCTCGGTGCATTGTGACGCGCACGCGTGAGTAGACGTATGCGCTGTATCACTAATTGATGGGCTGGGTTTAGTTTTAGCTGTTACTCGTGGTCTCTAGCGAGCTCGCGCAGAGTCTGACGCGGGCTAACTACACTACTAGACAGCATGCGAGAGGGGATACACGCCCTGCATTGCATCTTCTGGTGCCTCCGAGGTCGCAGAGCAGGCGGATCGATCAGACCGCGGTAAGCCATCCCGTCCGTTGTGTATTTGCATATTGGCTTTTTCGTGCTCTAGCTTTGCAACGGAGCATTTTCAGAGAAAACCGCACATACATTCTGACCTTCATTGGCTGTTGGGAAGTTCGTATCGTTTGTGAGACGAACAAACACTCGAGAAGTGAGATGTGGAGTAACAGACACACAGACACACACACACAGACCCAATGAAAAGCACTAAAGTGCAAACCCTCGGCGAAGTACGTAGGTCGCAGAGAGTCTGACACGGGCTAGCTAGAGTAGTAGATAGCACGCGAGAGTCCATTTGTTGTGACTTCTTGTGCCTCCAAGATAGACAGAGCAAGCGGACCCGGTCGAGGTATAAGCCTCCTGTGCTAAATATAAGCACATGCGCATTATCCGCCAGCGTTAAAATGGCGACTACGGCATTAGCCATACAATGCTGGAAGCGCTCTAGCTCTGTAACGGAGCACTTTCAGAGAAAACCCCACATATTTTCTGACCTTCGTCGCCCGTTGGGTAGATGGTATCGTTTCTGGGACGAACAGACATTCGAGAGGTGAGATGTAGAGTAACAGACACACACACACACAGACAGACAAACCCAACTACAGTAACCCTCGCTGCGCATGCGCGCCGAGGGTTAATGAAAAGCACTGAAGTGCAAACCCTCGGCGAACTGCGCACGCGCGGTACCACTAATGATGGGCTGGGCTTTTAGTATGCGTTTACTCGCGGTATCCACGCTAGTAGCTCGCGGAGAGTCTGACACGGACTAGCTACAGTAGTAAATAGCATGCGGGAGTCGATACATGCCCTTCGTTGTGACTTCTTATGCCTTCAAGATACACAGAGCAAGCGGCCCGGTCGAGGTAAGCTTGTGCTAATTAGCATATAACCACATGCGCATTTTCCGCAGCGATAAAAAATGGTGGACTACGCATTAGCCGTACAATGCTGGAAGCGCTGTAGCTCTGCAACGGAGCATTTTTCAGAGAAAACCGTTCATAATTTATGACCTTCATTGCCCGTTGAGTACGTCGCATCGTTTGTGAGACGAACAGACATCCGAGAGGTGAGATGTAGAGTAACAGACAGACACACAGACACACAAACCCAACTACAGTACCCTCGCTGCGCATCTGCGCCGAGGGTTAATAAAATGTTGGAAGCAATTTGTCCCATTGCTCCTATGTTTCTGCTGCCTGTACTATTCCCTGTTTGTATTTTTGTACAGGAGTATGATCTGAACAAGGATGGTATGATATCATACAGAGAGTTTGAATTGGTATGTAGGCAATTCTCTACCTTGTAATGACTATTAACATTTTTCAATGCGTGACTCTATAGGCCATGCAATCACAGCAGAGATACACCAAGTAAGCTGTGAAAAACCATTAATGATTCTTCTTTGTTTAGTATGACACGGATGTCATTAGCGGATAGACTGCTGTGTTTCATTCAGTGGTGTTTTTTTAATCTCTTTCTTTCCGAAACCCAGGGAAGAGATAGCCTACCTGATGGAGTGTGCAGACACTAACAATGATGGCCTGCTGGACTACACGGAGTTCACAGAGAGGTTCCACCAGCCAGCTGAAAACATTGGTACAAACCTCTGTCTACACATGCATACTACAATCATCCACGCCTCAGTTTATACCAATGAGATTGGTGGACGACTCACTGGTATTGTATCTTATCACTACAGGGTTCCATCTGTGTGTGTTGATAGTCCACCTCTCAGAACACCTACCCCAGGAGAAGAGACTGGCCCAGTTTAAGACCTCCTGTCAGGTATTGAAAGGCACGGTGAGTTACCTGCATCCCTCTCGACTGGTATACATAGGGTCGAGAGCTGATGGAGCACTTTGAGCAAGGCATGGGGTGCATTGAGATCCAGGGGAAGAGTGGTCGCATTGAGAGGGTCTACTTTGAAGTGAAGCAATCCCGACTAGCACAGTGGAATGAGACACAGATAAAGGTTCTTTTCTTGTGTATGTGCTGGATTAAGTTGCCAGCAGTTGTAGCTTCTATGTTACTGTACAAGTAATTTACATATATAGCAAAATGTGTCGAGTATATGAAAGTAGCAGGATAAGTACACCAAGGTTATCTGGGGTAGGTTAGGAATCTACATGGGTCAACAATGAGGTGGGTTGGCAAGGCAAAGGCAAGGGAAACAAGCTACACCTAGGACAGCTCTATTTTACCAAGGTCTAGGCGAGCGCTCTACCAACTGAGCTACCAGGGCAACTCAGCTGGTAGAGGGTTAAATTCTTTAACACAATAAAACTCTCAAACGTGCTGTTTTACGCCATAACTGTCACCTTGTGTGTTCTTCTAGGAATCTCGGAAGAACTTCCTCCACAGTGTGGACATGAGGAGCCACAAAAAGAAGCTCGAAGGCTTTGTCAGTTTCTGCGAAGACACCATATTTGAGATGGACTATGCAGACAAGATCAGTGGGTCGGAGCAGCGGAGTCGAGAGAGCCGAGCCTTCCAACACCGCCTCAGACATACCAAGGCCTTGCAGTCTCCTGCTAGGTCAGTGCAAACCCAAAAAGCAGCTAATTGAAGAGTTAGGCCAAGCCCTCTAACACGGGTAGCAGTATCAGTGCCATTGTATTTGGAACAACGGTGGACTTAATGTTCTTCCTTTGGGTACCTTTGTGCCTCCTGCAGTTCGTGGAATGGGCTAACACTAGTCGGGTAAATGTGCTCTTTACTCGTGTTTCACGCCAACACGGTGGTTTGAAAATCAGCGTCATGCCTACGTAGCCGTTGGTATCGCTCTTTCCATATAGCCTTTAGAGCCAGAATACTGGTAACAGATAGACAGACAGAAAATGTGCTGTAACCATGCGTACCATGGGTTTTATGCTACCAATGTATAGGTCCAGACCAATCCTGCGGAGAGTGGTAGAGGTGGTGAGAGGGATGTGGAGGAGGCATCGTCCACTGGATACACTCAAGACTGTAGTCCTGGCAGTGTGGACACTCTTTGTTCTCATTCTTCTAATTCCTCTCCTCAACTTCCTCAAACGAGCTGGGTATGGTTCAACTGTTGGAGCAAATGTCCTGTTTATAGCAATAAAACATAATCCATTTTCACAGATGGGTCTCAAACTGTACACATGCTTTATAGAGTTTTATATAATGATGTAATTGCAGGTCCAAGTTAGGTACTGCTCTGTCACGACGTCTGGCTGTGGCTGACCACTCCCACTCACCTGATCGTAGCTCCACCCACCCACCTCAGACTAGTGGCTCCAGACTTGGAACTCTGGCTCAGCGAAAGGCACTTCGTCTCTCCATCACAAGAGACCAGTCACAGACCACACCTCCTGCCAATGCCCAACAGGTCCCAGCTACCACCAGTACCCAGACCACGGAAGAGAATGGCTCTCAGCAGACTCAAACTCAGAACGGGACACAGGGAGAGCACCCCGCAGCCTCTGGTCAAGCTACACTCACTAAAAGACTCAAGTCACTTCTCCCACACCAGATACAGACACCGAGATCCAGCAACACACCTCTAATGTAACTAATGCCTGACTGTGTTCTTTGTCAATTCTCTCTATTTCTCCCTCTCTACCTCTTTCACGTTTTCCGAACCTCCCTGCTTAACTCTCTCACTTCTCTTTTGTCACTGCCCTTCTACGTTTTCTTGCTCTTTCTCTCTTTCCAGTTCAGCGACATTGCATCAACTGAATCTACGCTACAACAGATCCCACATGCGTCATCCCTCCCCATCCCCCACTAGTCCCCTCCCAACCCAGCAAGGAGACCAGTCTCTCACTCCTGGCATGGCCGAGGATACCTACGTCCCCAAGATCACTCTCTCAACACGAAGCTGGCAGGCGTTTATTGCCCGCCACTACTACAGACTCAACAGTGTTAAGCTCCTGGTGACCTTCCTCATCAACGTTGCGCTGCTCTCTTTTACTGTGAGTCGTGTTTCAAACTATATGGGAGGGTGCCACTGGGTGGGTTTTTGAAATTTTTGAACTTCCCTAAATATTATGTCTCGTACATATGTGCATATCAACACATATGTAGTGTATCCCCATGATGCGCCCTAGGTCCAGTCACTTTCTCAAGAGCAGTCAGCAGTCAGTGGTGATACCTGCGAAGCCAACTCCTCTCTCCACACGTCTGCTGCCTCCTTGTGTTCAGAGACGGTCGAGCTCATCTGGAACCCTCTCTACTTGAAGCTCCTGTCCCTCTTTCACTTCCTCCTCTCCCTCCTCCTCATTCTCTCCTACTGGAACCTCAAGGTTGGCAGCTGACCCCTCTCTAAGCAGACATCAAAATGTTTTGTTGACTATATATAACGTTCCATTCTATTTTTATCCGATCTTGGTTGATTAAACTTCATTTCTTCCAAACTGCAAGTTGCAGTAAAAGAGTCTAATAGAGAGCTAGCAGAGAAGTGATTGAAAGGCTTGTTAGTGCTATATTTTTTCTTTAGCTCTTCCGTTGCTATGTATGCTTTGGCCTAAATACAAGTGTTAAATCCAGCACGTTAAGAACATTGCTGTAAGGAATAGATGCCGATAATTGGGTAACCTGGAAGGTCTTTTTTCCTGAACATGGGCTGAAAACTGCTTTGTGGTTACGTGTTATTAATACTCAGGGTGCGTGCGCAGCGATGGTTACAGTACTTGTGTGTTTGTCTGTCCGTCCACATGTCTGTCTCTGTGTGTAACTACTTTTTCTTGCAACACCACTAGCTCGATTCATTTTGAAAAGTATGGCATTCGTATGAACAGTAAGTGAACAAGCCAATAAACAATGGTCACATTAGAGTTTGGATCCAGTATTGCCCTACAGTGCTGCCTGCTGATGTACGCTGATGTATGCTAGCCTGTATAGCGACAGAGCATAAGTCATTATAGCATGACCTCATGGCACTCTGCGTGTTTTGTAAACACGTGAACTGCGCCAAGGGTTGAGTGTTTTTCATTTGCGCGTGTAGTGTGAATGAAATGTTTCGCCTTACAAAAAGGTGAAAGTGAAACTAAGCCGTAAATATGTTTAGCAAACTGAAGCATGAATTTTGCATGAAACTTGCAAACAGTTTTTTAGTCATACATGATACGATTATTGCCAACAAACCACTTTTTTTGTAAACTGAATCGTGCATGTGCATGCATGTAGTTGAGCTTTGCCTTTTGACACATGCATAATACTCAGTTTAGAGTTGGGCGTCTTTGGTGGTTTAATTACCCCGGTCTGCTCCTACATACTGAGTGAGAGTATACTGTGCCATAGTACAGTGGTTTGATGTTTGTTCACAGGTTTACAAAACACGCAGAGTGCCATGAGTTCATGCTATAATGACTTATGCTCTGTCGCTAAACAGGCTAGCTACTTCATTGAAAGTCTTGTACTTTGGTGATAAACCCATACAACACAGTTTACAATAATATTACTCACATGCTGTGAAAGACCTTGGCCTGGGAGGAGAGATTTATAAAGTAGAGCAAGTAAGATCTCATTCTCAAAAGTTGCAATATTGAAGTTTAATGCTGATAGCAAATCAGCGTGTAAGGAAGTTTATTACACACTCGGATTCCCTTTTTCGTTGTGTGGTGCATGTGATGTGTAGGTCTATACCACGAGCAGTGTGTTGTTATACTTTTGAGACTGTTTACTTTCGTGAGATGTTGTTGAAAAATGAAACCACGGATCCCCACTAAGTATGTAAACTCTTAGCTCGCTGCACAGTATCTGTCACTAATTTCCCGATAGAGCCTAGAATCATGTGGCTTATTGTCACACTCCTTTTGTCTGTGGCTGAGTCGAGTCAGTTAATAGTATCTAGCGGTGATAGTGTGTTCAGAGGCTGTGGGAATGATCCCTGTCCTCCTTGGCAAATCAATTTTACCGGAACCTGCGTCTGCTCTGTGAAAAATTTTGATGATGTCATCCAGTGCAGAGATGATCCCTATGAGCTCCAGCTGCGCAAATGCTACTGTATAACATGTAGCCAGAGTCGATTTCTGTTTGGTCCTTGTCAGTTCACTTGTAGAAGGAAATACGATGGTGTCAGCTTTGCTGTTGAACCAAACAACACCAATGAAGTAATGTGTGGGTCGCACAACAGACAAGGTCAGATGTGTGGTCAATGTAAGCCAGGCTATGCCCCACCCGTCTATTTCCTACTCTCTCTCCTGTGTCAACTGTACCACTAGCAACTGGGGCAAGTACACTGCAGTCTCTCTTCTCCCACTAACTGCCTTCTTTGTCTTTGTAGTCGCCTTTAGAATCAGTGCCACTTCACCTATGCTTCATGGACTTGTTTTATGCATACAAATTATCATGTGCCCTCTTAATGCAAGACTTTTGCAAGACATGTACCATCGTGTGTGGGATGAAGGTGCAAATCACATACAAAACGATATTGTGTCAATAAAGGTAACTACATCCTTTATTGGAATATGGAACTTGGATTTCTTCCGGTTTGTCTACCCTCCATTCTGTCTCCATCCTCACACCAACACACTCCAAGTCTTGGCTCTGGACTATCTTGTGGCAGTCTACCCTCTCCTACTGATTGGCCTCTCCTACCTCGGTGTCCTTCTGTATGATCACAACATTCATCATTGTGTCTGGCTCTGCAAACCCCTTGTGTCCCTCTTCATCAAGTTTCGCAGACAGTGGAACATCAGGAGCTCACTAGTAGATGCCTTTGCCACTTTCCTCCTCCTCTCCTATGTCAAGATCCTCAGTGTGTCTGTGGACCTGCTCTTGCCTGTAGCTCTATATGACCAGAACGGACAACAACTGCCTCATCTCTATCTCTTCAACCAGGGAGATGTGGCCTACTTCAGCAGCCAGCACCTGCCCTATGCCTGCCTGGCCCTCTTCTTTCTCCTCACCTTCACACTCCTGCCAATGGCCCTCCTGTTCCTCTACCCCTGCTCCTGTTCCAGGTCTGTCTCAACCGCACAGGCCTCAGCTGCCAGTCCCTACACATCTTCATGGACTCCTTCCAGGGACATTACAAGAATGGTACAAACGGCACTCGGGACTTTCGCTCTCTCTCTGCACTTTACCTTCTCCTCAGGCTATTGGTATACTGCAGTTTGGTGTTATGTATGAAACCAAAAGCTACGGTTATCCTACTGCCATTATTCTCATATTCACAGTTGTTACAAGCTATTGTAAAACCTTTCAAGGGGAGTGTTTAATAACATTACCACTACCTTATTCTTCTATTCTTATCCCTCACTTTTATTTTGTATTACCAGTGCAGATTGATGGGTTAAGTATCAAAACCCACTCTTACGCTCCAGCAAGTATGCTTTGTTGGTGGGTTGGTGTTCCTATATCACTGTATATTTCTTGTATTGGGTAACACCCTCTAAGGTGTGGCAAACACCTGTATTAAAGAATGCCGTACTCCAGTGTTGGAAATAACGCTTTTTCCACAGAGATGGATATGAGAGTTTTAAAGCCTTTTGAACTTCTTTCTTTTGTTGAACTATTACTGTATATTCAACCATACAGAGACAAACGAATTAAGTGACATTAGTACATTATAACATGTTATGTATTGAATGCATTTGTGTGAGTTGCTGAATTATTACTTTTTTGATATAAAGTATAAAGTTGAAGGATAAGTAGATAATCGCGAGGGCAAAATTGGTCAAACTACAAAATTGTTGTTTTGCAGGTTCCTCATCAGTTCAAACGGGGAAAGAAAGAGATTGCTCGTCGCCTCGAAACCAAGCATACCTGGCTGGGCTCTCGACCCAGGTGGTCTCCAGGGATAGGAAACGTCTGGGGAGTGGGGCATGGCAGATTGGTGGGCGTGGCTCTGTGATATGTGGGACAGTACTGTAATTTCAGCTCCCTCTTTCCCCGTAACTACTGGGACAAGCAGTGAAGGACAGAGTAAGTCTCTCTCTCTTTGTAATAAACTTCACCTGCCCAAGAGTACTCAATTCTGATTTTACAGTATATACTAACCTGATGTGTGTTACTTTAAGAGGACACACGGCACATTGTGTTTCTGTGTGTTTCTAGGTCGACTCACAGTTTGAAGGAGCCAGTCGTGACCTCGTGACCCGCCAACTTGGGATGGGACTCAGTGCCCTTTTGAGACCCGTTCAAAGTGGGGCAATGTTTCCGCGACAGTGAACTCTGCATTGTGGGACCTCCGCTACTTTGTGTGGATGGTGGGGACCGTTCTCACTGACATGGTATGTGGATGAGTGGTGAAAAGAAGGTCCAGTAAGGAATTTTAAAAAACAGATATCCACATAGTAAGTTGTTGGCCATTCCCTTTAGTTCCCATTGTCTTTCCAATGAGGAATTGAAACACAGTGGGGAGAATGCTTGACTCGCACACAGGCATGGAGCAATAGTGGCCCTGCATAAGCCAAATTGCCCATCCTCCATTGCTACATGGCTCATAGATGTACCATGCTTATTAGTACCCCATTTGTGCTCTACATCATATGAAGTGTGTTAGTTTCTCTATTTTTGACCCCAACCTGTAGATGGTGCTCTACCACATATTCTACTGCGGCCTCAGTTTCCTTGGTCTCAGATCCAACTCGTATTTACTTCTCCATACATCTGCTGGACCTTGTCATGAACTTCAAGCTGCTCAGAACTGTCCTCTACTCTGTGCTCCACAATGGGAACAGGTGAGTAACTGTGTAGTAGCAGACCCCTTGCCAGGGTGAGCTTTTGTGGCTCTATAGGTCTAGGATGTAGACTGTGGACCACCACGGATTTCTGGAGTTTAGAAACACAGTTGAGCATGTTTACAGCCTCTGGGTGTGGCTGAACTTTGTCAGTACCTTATGCTTTCAACATTACATCAGAGTTCCCTTCATCCTGACCGTAGCCAGACCTTGTTCTAATGTTGAGATGCTGCTGAAGGTAAGAGGTCTGGCCAAATAATGATGTAGTTTGTGCAATTTTACTGCACATCAATACCCTCATTTGTCTTGAAGCTAAAGCATGGAGTCTTCATCCCTTTTCTCTCTCGCCCTCTTCTCTAATTCACATGTGCAGTTGCTGATGACAGTCCTCATGACATGTGTTGTCATCTACCTCTACACTGTGATTGCCTTCAACTACTTCAGAAAGTTCTATGTCCACAGAGCCACACTAATGGGAGCCTGTCTACGCTTGTGACAATATGGCAGAAGGTACACAGTGCATGTAAATGGTAGGGACAGACGGAATTTTGGAGCGTGTCATATAGGGTTTTTAGCTAGTTTCAGGTGAAAGGAACAGAAGAGCCTTCTTGTGTAAG